AAGCGTCCGACTCTTGGGTTTCCCCTCAGGTCGTGGTCTCAGGGTGGTGAGATCTAGCCCCATGTCGGGCTCTGCGCTCAGCGTGGAGTCTGCTTAAGACTCTCTCTCTCCCTCGGGGCGCCTGGGTGGCTCAGTTGGTTAAGCATCTGCCCTGGGCTCAGGTCATGATCCCAGAGTCCTGGGATCAAGTCCCGTATCAGGCTCCCTGCTCAGAGGGGAGCCTGCTTCTCCCTCTGCCTCTGCCCCTCCCCCTGCTTGTGCTCTATCAAATAAATAAATGAAATCTTATAAAAAAACTCTCTCTCCCTTTCCCTCTGCACGCTTGCTCTCTCTAAAATAAATAAGTAAATCTTTAAGAAGAGAGAGAGAGGGGCGCCTGGGTGGCTCAGTCATTCAGCGTCTGCCTTCAGCTCAGGTCATGATCCCAGGGTCCTGGGATCAAGCCCCACATCAGGCTCCCTGCTCGGCAGGAAGCCTGCTTCTCCCTCTCCCACTCCCCCTGCTTGTGCTCTCTCTCTCGCTGTGTCTCTCTCTGTCAAATAAATAAATGAAAAATCTTAAAAAAAAAAAAAAAGACTTTAAAAAATAAAAATAAATAAAAATAAAAAGAGAGAGACTGAGCCAATTACAACAGCCTGGGCCTGGAGGCTGGGAATGGAAATTGAAGGGGTGGCAGAGGAACCCCACAGAGGACCCTCCCACTTTTACCTTTTGAGCCGACGATTTCCAAAAAGGGACACCAATGAATCATCTAGTAGCAAATCTGTCTCCTAAAAGGAAAAGCAGAGACAAGGCTTAGAAACTTCCAGAACAGACCAAGCCCTGCCCCCACCAGCTGCTTCCCACACTAGCCATGTCCCTCCATGCATCCAAGGCCTGGCACAGGGACCACCCTATAGGGTAGGGGTTGCAGGGATGCACTCACCTTCCCAAAGGCCCCAGTGGGGTCAGCCAAGAGCCTAACCTAAGGAGAAAGTAAAGGTCAAAGAAAAATCCCCCTGGCCCCTGATCCCCTGCAGGACCCATACCTCACCTTGCCTCCAGAGTTGTGAGCTCGTCCCCACTCTTCAGTCACAAAGACATCATTAACACACAGACAGGCTATCACCTGGACCCCCTTGGCCTTCAGAGCCTCAGCCTGCTGCACAAATCCTGGCAGGTGGGTCTAGGAGGGGACACAAAGGGTCAGCAAAGTGATAACTGCCTCTGCTCTGCGTTGTACGCTTCATCTCCCGGCCCTCCTCACTTCCCTCTTAAATATCTTTGATCGATTAGAAATGTGTCAGCCACACTTCCTTTTTGCCTTGGCAGCAAGGAAGCTCGGGACCAAACTTGAGCGCTCTGTGGTCACCATGAACCTCCCTTGGACGTGACTATATTTACCCGAGTATCTTCCACATCGCCCATCACCAGCAAGATCAATAACAGATGTTGGATTTAATTACAATACCCTTTTCTCCTACGTTCCTGGTGCCATGAGCTTTTCACGGCCTCCGCTTTTTTCTGAACGCTCTGATAGGCTTTATTTTTTGTGTTTTTTTTTAAAGAGTTTATTTCTTTATTTGACAGAGAGAGAGTGAGAGAGCACAAACAGGGGGAGCAGCAGCAGAGGGAGAGGGAGAAGCGGGCTCCCCACCTAGCAGGGAGCTCGATGCAGGACTGGATCCCAGGACCCCGGGATCATGACCTGAGCTGAAGGCAGACACTTAACCGACTGAGCCACTCAGGCGCCCCGCTCTGATAGGCTTTGTAACTGTCACCACCACTACATACTCTCGCTGCAAGCTGCCCTAGAACTTAGGAACAATACAGACATGGACACGAGATTCCAACCGCTGACTCCCAGAAGGGCAGGTCTCACCTTGGAACAGCCGGGGGTAAAAGCCCCAGGGACTCCAAACAGCACCCCCTTCTTGCCCTTGAACAGCTCTGCCAGGTTCACCTTGTTCCCAGGCTTCCCTTCAAAAACCACCACGGAAGGGACGGCATCTCCCACCTAGAGGGAATGACTTGGTAAGGAGTTACTTGGTTACTTGGTATATGAGCAAAGACAACTAGAGACTGACTGACTAGATAAGGGGGTAAGCAGTTGGGGAATGAGGGAGTGGGTAGGAGAAGCCAAGAGAAAGGCGTTAAACCGGACCAGGCAGTTGCTCCTAGTAGAGCAGAGTTGACAGAGCCGTAATGTCCTAACCTGTCAAAGTTTCCAGAGGTCCCTCCCAGCCGCCCTCCCCTCTCCCCCCACCGCCTGGTTCCTCCACATCCTCCGGGTTTCAAAGTGGACCCTATTCCTTTTACCAGCCTGTTGGTGACAAAAGAAAATGGGAGAGGAGGCCTCTCTGGGTGTCGCAAGAGGCTGAGTAAACAAGGAGTGGTTTCTTACCGGAAAGAGGTGGGATAAATGGGCAGGGAAGGAGAGCAGGGAATCTCTTGGGGGGTGAGGAGGAGACCCCCGACAACAGGGAGGGAGAGGACCCTGGCCAGGTCTAAGTGTCCAGCCCTCAGCAAGAGAAAAAGGGAGAGCAGCAGAAGATGGAAAAGTGGGGGAGAGGGTAATAAAATAAAAGGCATCTCTCAAAGGGGATGGATTAGTCTACCTGGGAGTGTGTGAGGGTTTCATGGAGCCAGAGGAGGTACACGAAAGGAGGGCAAATCAGGGATTGGGAGTAAGATTAAGCAGGAGGAGGAGGAGGTCTCAGAAGAGTGTGGAAGGGTAAGGGAAGTGGTCCCCAGGAGCAAGGGCTCGGTCCAGATGAGGGGATGAAAGGCTCAGAAGAGTGGGAATGAGCAAGGGAGAAGTGGAACGGGAGAGACACAATAGGGGCTTTAAGAGAAAACCCTTGTTTCAGACGATGGGGTGAAGAATGATGCCCAGGAATATAACAAAAACGTACAAGAGAGTATGGGGGTAGGGGCACGTATGGAGGTTGAAAAGGGGCCCTGTGGCAAAGGAGATGGTTCCAGAAGGCGGAGGAGACCATGGTATTCAATCGCCTAAAATGGTGGAGACACATCACAGGGTGTCGCATACTGGAAGTGAAAAGGGGACGAGGGGAAGGCTCTCGAGCCTTGGAGGCTGTCCAGGAGATGGGGTACGAGTCCCCAAAACTGGCGAGAATTAGGGGAGGGGAGCAGCCACGGGGTGTTGCTGAGGGGAGAACTACGGGAGGAGCGTCCGGCGGAGCGCGCAGGGGTCGGGGGGCAGGAAGGAGGGTGATTCTCCCCCAGACACGCGGGACGGAGAGCCCTGGGAAGACTGGCGGGAGGGGAGTTCCGGCCGGTCACGGCCAGCGGTCACCTTGATTGGGGCCATGGCTGAGGCGGCGCTTCTGAAACCGTAGGCCCCGCCAAGCGTCCACTCCCTGCCTGGTTGCCGGCACCCGCCTGCTCTCGACGGCGTCGATGCTGCAGACTCGACGGCAGCTGCCCGGACGAGACCCGAGCCTGCCCGACAACTCAGGACGCGCAGCTGGACAAACGGCATGCCCAACTCAGAGCGCACTTGCCGCTCCGCCCTCGCGTCGGAGCCGCGGCAGGGGGCGGGGCCTGGCGGGCTGTGCCCCGGAGGGTCCCCTCCCCGAGAGGCGGAGCCCCGGCCGTGCCCGCCCCCGGAGAGGCTCCTCCAGTGCGCAGGCCTAGGGGCGGAGCTTCTGGGGCGCTCGGCTTATTTGCATTTGGGGCTGGACCACCGGCGCAGTTACGAATGGGCGGGGCTTTCGGCAGCCGCGCAACTTATTTGCATACAAGGATGGGGTGTCGCTGTTGTGATGGGCCTAGTTTACGGATTCCTGCAATGTTTCCTTTCCTTAACCGGAAGCGAGGGACGGGAGACGATGGTGTCAGGCGCTGGTGTAGGAGAAAAACATGTTTATTTGGCATTCAACGAAGGCCACTGCATTGCGGCTGCTTTACATACGATGTACACTGTGCATAATTCGTAGCGAATGGAAACCACTGGGCCTGCGCCCTAGTCATCTCCCACCGGGACGCTTCCGGTAGGAGCGCGTGATCCGACAAAGCTTTTCAAATACCTCTACTCCGCTAGCACGAGAAGTTCCAGCACGTTCGCCACTTCCGCTCCTCCGAGCCATCCAATGGGACGGAGAATGGAGCGGCCCCGGAAGTGACGCAGCGGAGTTTCTGCCTTCTTCCGGTTCCGGCTTTCTGAGAGCGCGTTGAGGCGACATGAAGCTGCTAACGCACAACCTGCTGAGCTCGCATGTGCGGGGGGTGGGGCCCCGTGGCTTCCCACTGCGCCTCCAGGTACCGGCCCGGGGCAGTCTCGCGCCCGTCTCCTGGGCGGAGTAGGGGAGCCAGGCTCCTGTCCCTAACGAAACTCCTCCGCCCCGCAGGCCACCGAGGTCCGCATCAACCCCGTGGAGTTCAACCCTGACTTCGTGGCGCGTATGATACCCAAGGTGGAGTGGGCGGCGCTTCTGGAGGCGGCGGATACCGTGAGGACCCTCCCCGACGCCCGTGCTCACCCTGGGGTGGGGTGGTCCCACCGCAGGCCTATGCCCCCAGGCCGGGGAACCTGGCGTCAAAGCAAGGGGCGGGATGCCCAGAGCTGATTTAGGCCTTTGCCCACAGTTGCATCTGGTCGAGGTGCCCAAAGGGCCGATTGAAGGGTATGAGCACGATGAGAAATTCTTGAGGCAGATGCACCACGTGCTGCTGGAGGTGAGAACCGGCCCATTGCTTGCTTTCCTGGCCAGTCACAGCCGGAGGAGGCTGCCAGTGCTCAGCTCTGTTCCCTCCCCCTTCCCCACAGGTGGATGTGCTGGAGGGCACCTTGCAGTGCCCAGAGTCTGGACGTCTGTTCCCCATCAGTCGCGGGATCCCCAACATGCTGCTGAGTGATGAGGAAACCGAGACTTAATCGTGCCAGGCGCTAGTTTTTCAGTCTGTAACCAGGAATGTTTTTGTTGATGTATATTCTGTTTGCTAGGTCTGTCGTGTATCCCCAAACCTGGACCCAGTGACACACGAAACACAGTGTTCTTGAGCTCGATATATTTCTTTTTCTCATTAAAGGTTCAAAACCAAAAGCGGTTTCTCTTTGCAGCAAATATACATTAAAATAGAGTCTCTGTACAGCCAAAGGCTCTGGGCCCTGGCTTGCCCTATGTCCCTGCACCTCCCTGGCCAAACCCAAAAATAAATATAGTGTTATTGCTCTGCAGGGCATAGAGGCAGTGCTCTCCCTACCCCCCCTGAGGAGGCTGGGTGGGAGCTGATGGGGGGCCCTGGCCACCCCAGGGGTCCAGGGGCTGGAGCCTGCTTGGAGTTATTGCTTCAAGGGGGGGCAGTAATGCCCAATGCAAATGATGAGGAGAGGAGCGAAGGGGGCAGGGGCCTTTGCTCTCCAAATCCCCCTCTGCTCTGGAGAGGGGGTTGGATTAAGCAGCAGCAAAAGCATCACCCGCTGGGAGACTGTGGCCTCCACTCCCTTCCCTCCCTGAGATCAGGCTTCTGCCCCCCCCCACGTCCCCTGCAGCCCCCTATGGCTTCCGCAAGGCCCCCTACACTCTGGGGGCACATTATGGCTTGCAAGGGGCAGCACTGTGCCCAGAGCCTGGGCGCACACATTCCCAGCTTCTAAGACCCCCTGGGAGGGGGGAGGGGAGGGCGTAGGGCCTGCTCCCAGGGGCTGATGGTATTGCCCTGGCCCTGCCAGCAGGCTGTGGCACTGCCCAGACCCCAGGCTCTGCCCCCTTGGGGCTGACCCCATACTGGGCGGGTCCTGCCAGCACCCCCACCCATGCCCACCCCTTGCCTCAGTCCATCATGGCCTCGAGCATCTCCAAGAACAGCTTGTGCATGGGCACCTTGCCCTCCAGCTTCACGCCATAGAAATGGGCCAGCACCTTGCCCGCTGTCTGGCGAAGGAGCGGTAGTGTGAGCAACAGCCTGCCCGCCCGCCGCCGTTCAGCACCCCCTCCGGGGCCCGCCCGGCCTGCTTCATACTCGAGCAGGGCCTCGTGTAGAGCTTCTCGCAGCTGCTCCACAGCCTCGGCATCCTCAATGTGCACAGAGTCTGCAAGGAGAGGAGGGGACGCTGTGGGCGCGGACTGTCTCCAGAAAGGGCAGAGCCCACACCTGCTTGAGCACTGTTGGATGGGGCCCGAGGAGGAGCCTGACATGGATCTGAGGGGCTGCCTGAGGCACCACTCACCACTCCTGCACATGAGCCGGGGCCCCCCCTTTCTCCCTCAACTGTGGCTACCTTTGGCTCCCCCCCCACCCCGCTTCCTTCCCGCTAGGTGGTTCACTTTCCATGTAAAGATGGCCCTAGAGCTCTAAATTCTACGTGCAGCTCCTGAGCCTGCCCTTGCCTTCTTTGGGACTTTCAACAAGTCACTGTTCTCCCCTAAGCCCCAATTGTCTTTGTCTGCCAGATGAGACCGTGCCACCGTCAGGGTTACCAAGTGGAGGGCCTCACGGAGACTCCCGTCGGTGCCCGCCCCAGACTCACCTGAATTGGCAAGGGCCAGGGCCTTCAGCAGGACGTACTCCTCACGCTCCAGCCTCAGGGCCTGCAGTCGCCTCACCAGCTGCAGCAGCGCAGCCCCTAGCTCCCCCAAGCCAGCGGCGCGTGCCCCCTCTTCATCCAGGACCAGGTCCTCGGCGAAGGCCAGCTCATCCTGCAGTGGCAGTGAGCGCTGGGCCACACCCAACACCAAGACCTCCATCCATACGCTCTGCAGGACTGACATCTGGTCAGACAGTGACAGTGACGAGAAGCCTGGAGGATAGTGGGAAGCAGACCTGGCTGAACAAGTTCACCAGAGCCAGGCCCGGCCTGCAGAGGGAAGCCCCGGATCACCTGCGCTGGTTACCTGGGATGCTCTTGGCCCAGCTGATGGTGACCACAATCTCTCGGTCAAAGAGGTCACAGAGGGTAGCCACAGCCGGGAGGTGTCCGTCAGGGCCCGCCGGGTCGGGCATGGCATATAGCTTCTCAGGCTCAACCACCAGCAGGTGGGACACGAGTGCATTTACAGGAGCTGCTGGGACAGTTGGAAGAGTCGCACTCGAATTCATCACCTTGCAGTCCCCTTTGGGGTCAAGCATCTGCCCCAAATTAGCCACCACCACCCCCCATGGCCTTCCTAATAGCCACTGGCCAGCCAGGCTTGGACACTTCTCTCCAGGAAGGCCTCCCACTCTCTCCCAGGGAAAGCAAGTCCATGGACAGGTTCTGAGTGTGAGAAAAGTCTTTCCCTGGTCCCAGGTGTACTACTCAGGGACTGATAAAGATAACTTTCAAAAATACTCCTTCAGGGAAACATGCTGTGAATACAGATGAAGGGCAAACCGGATCCCGATGCCAATGCTATCCATTCTGGGTGACCGACACCTAACAGGCTTCTCGTGTCCCAGCCCCATCCCAGCCCTAGGGCTCCCAGGACCCACAGCACACTCACCGGGTTTCCGAGGGCCTCCGGCTACCGCCAGGGGTCCAGCAGGGAAGGAGCCCGGGAAGGGCAGCGGGTCCACCTCTGGCCGCCGCTTGTACTTCTGCCGCCCGCCTCGGACACGGTCCAGACGTACACCTTGAATTTCGGGACAAGGCTGTGTCCGTGGGGCTGGGAGTGGCTTGCTCTGCAGAGCCCTCCCGCCCCATCTCTTCCCACAGAACGCCCCAAGCCTCGCCCACCCCTGCCCCACGCACCCGGGCCCCTGCCCAGCGCTCACCCTCCTTGAGCATGCCCACCCGCAGGCACTTGGTGAAACGACAGGCCTGGCAGGCCTTGCGTCTCCGCTTGGTGATCTCGCACTCGTTGGAGGCCGGACAGCTGTACTCGATGCTCCCTGCCAGGAAGAGGCAGGGCTCCAGTGGCGGAATCCTAGGGCCCGGAGGGGGCCCAGAAGATAGGAGAACCCCGACGCGCCCTGGGCAAGCGCAGGTCTGGGGAGAGCGGCGGTGCCCTGAGTGGGGCAGGGAAGCCCGGGACAGTGAGGGGAATGGCCTCTGGGCTGGGGGCTCCTGACGAGGCCAAGGAAACCTGGGACCCAGGGAGTCAGGCTGATTTCTGCCCCAAGCCTCTTGTCAAGCCACGTCTCTGGGCTCTACTAACCCCATCTGTTCTCATCAAGGGCCACAGCGGCTTCTATGTTGCTACATCCAGTGGTCCATTCTTGTCCTCATCTTGCTTGGCCTAAAGGAGCATCTAATGCCATGGATCACGTCCTGCTCCCACAAACACTTGGACACTTGTCTCCTTTGCCTCTAGGACACCACCTCCTTCCAGCTCACTGGCCACTTTGTCATTTCTGTGCATCCTCACACACTCCTTCCACCGAAGGACTGACCCCAGGGCTGCCCTTGGACCACCCAACTCACTCCCACGGTGAGCTCACCAGTCATGGGCCTTCACGTTTCTATCAGTACAGCTTCATGAACTCTAGACTCGTTTTCCACTGCCTCAGCATCTTGCAGGTCTAGAAGGCGTGGCAAACTTCACCTGTCCTAAATGGAGCCCACGACCTACCACTCCAAACCCTACAACCCCATTTGTCCAGTGGCTCAAGCAGAAATCCAGAAAACATCTTTGATTCTTCTCTTACACCCAAATCCAACCCATCAGCGGGGCCTGGCGAGCTTTACCTCCTCCTATGCCCAGAAGCCGACCCGTTGTGCCCCATGCCTGCTCCCGCCCCTGCCCCGAGTCACCATCACCCCACCTTCTCGCTGGCCTCCTCCTCCGTCCCTTTCTCCTTCAGTTAATGTCTACACAATGGGCCAGGACAACCCACTCAACCCAAGTCAGATCCTGTCCCTCCCCTGCTCCAAAGCCTCCAGTGATGTCCCTTCTCAGAATAAAAGCCCAAGTGCTCCCGAGGCCGGTGAGGCCTCCAGTCCTTGGCTTTTCAACCTTTCTAACCTCATCCCCCTCATACTCTGTTCCTCCCACGGACCCCAGGCTCAGGGCCCACTGCTCCCTTACCTCCTTCTTAGCTCTACTCCCAGTCACCTCAGGGAGGCCCTCCCTGGCCCCACTGTGAGAATGTCGGGGTTCTTCTGCAGGCTTCTTCTGCCACCTGCCCTCCTGATAGCTTCTCGTCAGCTCTCAGCACCCTCTGAGTCACCACACACGTACTTATTCGTCTTATTATCTGTCCTCCCCCTTTAGCATCTGCTCGTGAAGGCCAGGATGGCCAAGCGCTAGGAACAGGGCCTGGTATGTAATGGCAGCTTCTGACTGGCTGACGGAACGCATGGTGGCCCTCCCAGCCTCACAGGGGTACCGCCAGGGCTGAATGACACAACCAGCCAACATGCCCTTGGCACATTCCTCCTACACCCTATATTCAGGCCTGCACCCGCAGCTCAAGACACCTCCTCCAAGAAGACCTCCAGAGCCTCCAACCTAGCCGGGTTCCTTGGCACACATCCTATTCCTCCCCCTCCAGCACTAAAATAGCTGTACTACAACAGTTTTGTGCAATTCACTGTTTTCTCTCTTCCCTCTGCTAGAATATAAATGGCTTAGTCCCAGCTATGTCCGCAGGCCTGAACAGTGGTCAGGACAGCAAAGCACAGGTCTGTGAATAAAAAGGGCTCTGAAGGCTGCCTGGGATCCATCCTGACACTACCTCGTAACAACCGTGTGACCTTGGGCAAGTCCCATACCTAAGCCCCCAACCCCTCAGTTTTCCCATCTATAAAACTGGGATAAAAACAGGACTTCCTACAAAGACGGCTAGTAAGAATGAAAGGGGATGTCGAGGTAACATGTTCAGCATGGTTCACAGTGCCCAAATGCCCAATAAATGACTACAATCTATGGCTAGGGCTCAGTAAACATTTGTCAACGGAGTCAACAGAGAATGAAGGGGTCCAACATGGGTAGGAGACGCCTGGGCCTGGGCCCCTTAGTTCACTGGCCTTCGAATCCATTAGAGAGCACAAACGGTTTTAGAGCAGTGGGTGTTGGCCAAATCAAAACCCACTCGCGGGCGCCTGGGTGGCTCAGATGGTTGAGCGTCTGCCTTCGGCTCAGGTCATGATCCCAGGATCCTGGGATCGAGTCCCACATCGGGCTCCCTGCTCGGTGGGAAGCCTGCTTCTCCCTCTGCCTCTCTCTCTCTCTCTCTGACTCTCATGAATAAATAAATAAAACATTAAAAAAAAAAAAAAAACCCACTCGCAATGTCACAATCAGTTGGGAGCCATCTGTCCGAAGTTCAGTTATAAGTAATAAGCAGAGGCGGCAGTCAGCTCTGGACCTAAATCAACCCAAGTTCAAATCCTGCTTCTGCCATTTTCTACCTGTGGGACTTGAACAAAGTTTTAAAAATCTTCCTGGGCCTCAAGTACGGTCACAGCGCTGGCACCTTATGGGCTGTTCAGGGAGTAAGAGATCACGAACATAGAGGGCACCGTGCCTGACACGGGGTAAGCACTCAAGAAATGTTCTCCAAAAGTACAAGTTACTGCCCCAAAGTCAGCAGTGTTTCCTATAAAAATATAAGTAACAGGCACATCCCAAGTAAAGCTTATTACATCACATCTTGCTCATGTTTTGATATGTGTTCCTGAGTGAGAAAAACTCAGTAATAGTCTTTTTAAAGTCAGGTGCTGAAATACGGTGTAGCCCCTCTCAGTTACCCATGAAAACCTGCCTTATGCTGGTGCTGCTTTGGGGAAATCCACCAAAGGGCGGGGAACGGGGGGGGGGTTCTCTGCTGCTGAGAGTTTCAGCAGCCACCAGAAGCAAGAACAAAGTTTAGAAGCAGAAAGAGGCTGTCTCAAGTTTTTCAGAGCCACTGTGGAAGGTGCTAGGCCTCTAGTACCCAGAAACCTAGGCTTCCTGAGCCCTCTCTCACATCCCACATCCAAGCCATCAACACATCCTGGTGGCTTTATTTAACTTTTCAGGGAAACGGCACTTCCAGGAGGGAAGAGGAACTTGGGAACCCCAAGTGGTACCTCAGCAGTTTGGGGGCCTACTGCCACGTGGCAGTGCACCCACTGGGTAGCACTAGGCCCAGAGGGCAAAGGGCACAGGAGTGCGGTGGGGGCTCACCCTGGATGGTCCTCTTGAAGAAGGCTTTGCAGGCCTCACAGGATGCCACACCATAGTGATAGCCGGAGGCCACATCCCCACAGACCAGGCAGAGGCGTTTGGGTAGGGAGCTGAGCACCAGCTTCCCACCACCCTGCTCGCCAGGCCCAGCCCCCTCCCCATCCTCCTCTTCCTTGTGGCCTGGGAGGCAGCGGGTGGGAGCTGGGCCAGGGGCCAGGGCCACGGGGGGCTCGGTCTCAGTCTCCGAGGAACCCTTTGGGCTGTCAGGGCTGGCTGGCTCTGCCTTGATGTAGAGAGGCTCAATGCCCACCACCTGGCTGGACATGGCGCTGGTCACCTGCAGGGAGAGACCTGTCCGGTCACAGGGAGACACTGGGATGGGGGACGGAGACACAGTGCCACCCTGGTTGCCCAACCCTGGGCCTAGGGCCAGGCTTCCAGGCTCATCGAGGGGGAGGGAAGGGGGGCAGAGTCCAAGGAAGGGCTGCCCATGAAGAGGCCCCCCCCCAGCCGTTGCCATGGTAACAGAGTCTCCAAAGCCTCCAGGGCCAGTAACTGACGGTAAGGTCTCCCACTTGGGAACCTGGGGGAAGCCTGGAAACTCCCTACTCCCACCCGGGCCAGGGAGCAGGGTAACCTTAGTCCCCAGGTGACCTTCAACCCCAACTGGAATCCCCAGCCAGTAGCGAGATTCCTCTCAATTTTCTCCAAATGTTGAGGACCTCGATGATTTCCCCCTCACCTGGGCATCCTCCATTCAAAAGCACAAACCAGGCACACAAGGGCAGTGGCGGGTTCACACACTCGCACCCACCTGGGTCCTCAGGTGTCCTCACATGCTCACACATGCTCACTCTCTCCTGGGCACCTCCATGCTCTCACACATGGCTTTCCCCAAGCCCCAGCTCTCACTCATGCCCCCCGTTTGTCTTCACACACTCCACCCGAAGTGCACAAACCATAAACAAAGTCACACTCAAGGCTCACAATCACACACACTCACTCCCAAACACACTCACCATGCCCCCACACTGACACACACAGGCACAGACCCTTGTGGAAACACACTCAGAGCCTTTCACACCTGACACACCGCCCCTCCTGCCCCAGCATGCCAATCCCATGCCCACCGGAGGACACGGCCCCACCTCTTTACACCCCACCCCACCCCCCCAAACCCCGCCAGCACAATCACTCTTACACTCCAGCTGCCGCAGAATCCTCCACCTCAGGAGCGCCCCGCCCCCCCAACCTGCGCACACCTACGGAAAGTTGCCTAAAGTTGCTGCGCCTCCCCTTCCCCTCCGCCCGCGGGGGACCTCTATCAGGTTATCAGGAAGTAAATGGGGAGCGCCAAGGAGGAGGAAGTTCTCCCCTGCCGGTGCGATGACCTTTGACCCAGAGAGGAGGGTGGCTCAAGGCCCCTTCGAGCGCCCCCACGTGGTCTTCAAAGCCCCTTCTCCGACAGGGAACCCTCCCTATCTTCCACCCAGGCCCGCCCCTGGGACTTCGACTTGCTCCAGGTGCGGGATTGAACCCTGCCCTGGGACTGGATCCGAGGCCCAAGCCTGACCCTGGCCAGGACGTGAAGCCCGAGCCAGGACCGGCCCCTGTCCCAGGCCGACGCATTAAGACCTCAACACGGGATCCCGCGCGGACCCTAACCCCGTCTGGCCCTGGACCCGATCCCAACCGTGACCCGGGCTCGTCCTGGAGCCGGACCCCGCCCGGAGCCCGCCCCCCGCCGCCCGCCGCCCGCCTCCCAGCCGCGCTCGCACATGGCCCCCGCGCCCCGCCCGTCCACCCCCCCCAGCGGCGCTCCCCTCCGCCCCCGGACCTGGGGCTCCGGCAGGGCGGGCGGGCAGGCATGGGGGCCGAGCGGCCCGGAGCGCCGGGGTGAGCCTGGGGCCGCGAACGGCCCCTCCTCCGCCGCCTCCTTGGGCCGCACCGCCCCACCGCACCGCGTCCCCTCACTCGGCGGCGCCGCCGGCGGCTTGTAGGACACAAAAGGACATCGCGGCCGCTTCCTACTCTGCTTCCTCCAGCTGACAGCGGGGGTGGGGCCGGCCGTGCGCATGCAAAGCAGGGGGCGGGTCTCGGCGCCCTATGCTAATCAGACAAGAGGGGCGGGCAGCGCCTGCGTGCCCGGACCAGCCGGGGCGGAACCGGCAGAGCCAGGGGGCGGTCCTTCATGAAGGTCCCGCCCAGCGCCGCCGAGCCCGAGCGGCGCACTTGTGAAGACGGCGGCCGAGGGGGCGGGGCCAGAGGAGACGTGGAGAGGCTCCGGGAGGGGGTTGGAACCAGGAGCGCTCTTACGTAACGAAGGAGGCGGGGCGCGCTATGCGCGAGAGAAGTGGGCGAGGTGGCTCGGTGGCCGCAATTGCGGGGCAGGGAGAAGACTTACATATGTAAATAAGAGGGCGGGATGAGCGGAGAGGTTAGTGTAACTGCATATGCATGAGGGGCGGGGCCTAGCATGCCCAAACTAGAAGGGAGGCGCTGCCCCTTTACCTTCTCGCCCTTCCCCCAAGATTACACCATCGGGGCACTTGGACCGCAGATCCAGTATCTCCACACAGCTGCTGGACCTGGGGCGGGAGACGCAGGCACAAAACATGCAAGAAGTCCTGGATTTCGAGTCCCGGGAAGGCGGAGCCAATAGGGCCTGGACGGAGAACGCTCAAGGTCACTACGGTGACCCAGTGAAGGTCACGGGGAAAGGCGGGGCCACGTGCGTCCTCCTCACGCGGGCAGCCACGCACTGACTCACCGACCGTGCACAGAGTCTTTTATTTCTCTAGGACTCAAATTCCACGTGGACAGGGTCGGGCTTGGGTCTGGGGACGGGACAGGGGCCGGGAACTGGAGTCGGGCTGTCTGTCACTCGAGCCCGAGCCTGAGGCGGTGCTCTCAGTGCACCAAGAGGTGCAGCCTCTTGCTCTGGCGCCTCTTGAGCCCCTCGATGCATCGCTGCAGCTGCTTGGTCAGGAAGTGGTCCCGGCCAATACCTGACCGGTAGCCTGGAGGGCATAGCTCGGCTCAGGGCAGTGAGCAGGAGCATAGCCTCCCCAGCAGCGGTGCTGCACCTGAGATTTGAGGAAACGCGGGTGATCTGGGGTGGCAGGAGCGCCTGGCACTCGGGTCTGTGTTAGTCTGGGAAACTTTGGATCTCCAAGGTGCTGGCCCTGACGGTTTTTTTTTTAAAGGTCAAGTCATACACCTGTACTCCAAACAGATGGGGGATGTGGAGGAGGATGAGAGAGTTAGGTGGAGCATGGGTGAGGGCAAGGTTAGAGTGTTGCAGGCCTGAACCAGGACAGTGGTAGCAGGCATCTCTGTGGACACCTCCTGGACCACCCACTCTAAGCCATTAGCCAGCATCCCTGCCTTATATTACGAGCAGGGCAAATGAGGGGACTTTGACCCAAATAATCCACTGTCCAGAGGTTCCTCACAGCACCGAGGGAGAGGGCCAAGTCCACACAAAGACTGTCATCCCCGTTGGGGAGTGGAGAAACCGCTTTAGAAAAGCCACATCATCTAGAGAGAGGCTGCACTAAGGCTGGAGCCCAGGCCCCTGAGGGTCACCTCATGCTCTCCCCACTGGGTGTCCCTGTGCCCAGTCCCCCAATTTTTTTACTTTTGGTAGGGCTCCTGGAATACTGGTGGGTGGTAAGGGAATCTGACAAGGCAGACACGTCCTGAAACCCCACTCCCAGAGGCCCAAGCCCTGCAAAATCCCCCAGGGTCTCTTGTGGGAGCTGGGGGAGGGGCTCACTCCGGAGGGCTTTGGTGAGGATTTCCAGAGCTTCATTCTCCATGAGTTCCATCAGAGGCAGTGGCAGCTGGAGAAGCAGCAAGAGGCTCAGATGTCCCAGAGACCCCAGCCCTGCCCCGAGCTGAAATGCCCCACCTGCCCCCTCTAGCCCCAAGACCCCCAACCAACCTGCCTGCCCTTCCGCTCTACAAACCACACTCACCCCTTCACCTCTGCAACCCCCACCTTGACCATCCCACCCCACTCAAATCCCCAGTCTCTCTGGGTGCTAACCCTGTTCTGCTGCTCCATCCAGTAGGCTCGATGGGGTGTGTGCTTCGAGATATTGAGCGATGACTCTGAGGAAGACATTTCTGGGAGAAGAGAAAAAGAGAGATCAGTCATCTGCAGACCGCTGGGTCTTCCCTGGAGCAGAGGAAACAAAACACATGGGCAGGCTTGTGGTGGCAGGGGAGTGGCCTTCAGAGACCAGCTCCAGGTGCCACCTTATTGGGAAACAGTATGGAACAGTCAGTTACTACCCTGGGCTTTATTGTCCCACCCACCAAGGTGCCAGTTCTGACTACGCCATTAGGTAAGGCTTACAAGCAGTGACTGAAAATTTCTGACCCTCAAGTTCTTCATTTGTCAAATGCGGTAATAAGAATAGAGCCCCTTATGGAGGTTGTGAAGTTTAAGGTGATCATGCAAAGGAAGCCCAGTGCCTGGCACACAGCAAGCACTCAATAGATGGCATTACAATATTGTTATCCGTTTTAATCCCCCGTTGTAGGGGCGGGGGGGGGTAGAGGGGAGTCCCAGACGGTGCCCAGCAAGAAGTAGGTACTTAAAATTGTAGCCAACGACTGAGTGAATGAAAGATAGGCACCTCCTCAACGACAGCAAATCCATACACAAGGAAATAACTCCCTCCTCTCAACCATCCCAGTGATTCCATTAAAAGCACGGGTCCTACGTCGCTGCCTTTGCGCATTTTCCGCAGGTGTCTCTCGGACCTGGCGTGCCATGGCCACAGGACCTTGTACGACGCCTGCCCGGTAGGGGGCGCTCCAAGAATGTCTGGTTGATTTAAAGCGTAAAAGATGAACGAGGGCGCCCGTCCGGGGAAAGGGAACCCTTGGAAACGGATCCTACAGCTTCTCCCCCCGCTCCACCCGCCCCATTTCACAGCAACAGATATTGAGGTCCTGGCCAGCCCCCTGCCCTGTGGATACCCACAGCCCTGTGAGGCCACACTGACCGGTGTCGGTCACGGAATCGACGTCCTCCCCTAAACGGCTTCGCAGGGAGCTGGCCCGACGCAGCTCCAGCTCCAACAAGGAGGACTCGTTCAGATCCTCCTGTTTGAAACTGCCCTTGTCCTCTCCGTCATCCCATTCTTCCCAACCACCGTCTGAGTCGCGGCCGGCCTTCTGGTTGTACCACCGGCGGGACTTGCGGCCGATGCCACCGCCCTCCATGTCTGAGTTCTCGCCGACACTGGACCGCGGCACATTCAGCTTCGGCTGCGACAGCGTGGCCCTGGTCCACAGATTCCGGATGTCGTTGTCTGGGCTCGACTTGTCTGAGCCATAGCTGCCCAAAGACGCCTGTGGGCCACATACAGCGAGGGAAGCCAAGGGCCGCGGGGAGTTGGGAAGGAGAGGAAGAGCAGGCTGGAGTCGTCGGCTCGGCTCAGGGCTCGTTGGGAGCTGCCCCGGGCCCAAGGCTGAGGGAGAGAATAGCCAGGGACCCAGGCTGGACCCAGGCTGGGGGCTCCCAGGAGGAGGGGGCCCGGGAAGAGTTCTTACTTTGAAAGGCTTTTCCTCCATGGTTCTGCCCCAACGGACCCAGTCGCCACAGGCCTCGGGGCGAGGAGCAAGGGGTCACGCTCCAGGAGCGGGGAGGGGCAGATCCCGTTCCCGAATGGTGCTGCGGGTGTCGCGAGGGAGAGTTCAATCTACAGCCCCCCACGCTAGATGCCATTCTCTCTCCCCCGTCCCCACCGCCCCATATCTGTGCTGAGGTTGGAGACGCACAGAACACCTTGGCACATTCCCGATTCCGGACCGTACCCGGTAGCCTCCCGGCAGAGACACGGGCCCAAGCGTGGCCCTTTCGGGTGCAGGCGTGGGGAGGAGGGGCTCGGCCCGGGGGTCACAGGAAGCCTGGCTTGCCCCGGAGGTGGCCCGACGCAAGCACTCCCACACCCACTAGCGTCCCCGGAGCGCGCACGCCCGCAGCGGTGCAAACTGTTTCCGTTTATTGATGCAGGCTTTTGAGGCACAGTCGTGAGGTGTAGTGAGGGACGGGCCCAGCTGGGACAGCGAGACAGAAAGCCTTGGGGGGGGGGTCTGCAAATGGATGAAGTGAGGAGAGGGCCAGGAGTGGGGGTGGCAACCCGTAGCCTCCTCCGCAGGCCTCGGTCCGGTCGAGAGAGGCCTCTTTGGTCAAACAAGCAGAGCATGCCGGGGAGAGCGCAAGAACGAAGCCCTTTGAGAGGCCCGGGCCCGGGGTCCCGCCCCTACACCGGCACGCCTTTTTCCCGCGGGCGCCCGGGGCCCCGCGGCCGCGCGGGCTTCCGGGGAGGGTTAGGGGGCCGGCGGCGACCCCGCGGCGCGCGGGGAAGCGCGCAGCCGCGCTCGCTCTGCGTGTCGGAGGACTCGTCGATGAAGGCCAGGTTCTCGCTGGGGTAATCCAGCGCGGAGGCTGTGGGCGGGGTGGACGGGGAGGACGGGGAGGGCGGCTCGGCCTTCACGGGGAGCGGGGACGGGGGCCTGCCGGCGGGCTGCGCAGGACACGGCGGCGGAGGCAGGAGTGGCCGATCCTTCTCCAGCGGCGGTGGTGCCGTGGGCCCGACTCGCTGGGTCACCCGCGCCGTCACCGTGCCGGTCCAGCTGGCGGCCTGCGCCGTGAGGCCGCCCATCTGCGCGAGGAGTAAAGGCAGTCCTCGACCGCGGGTCCTCGACCGCCTCGGCAACCCCGGGAACCTACCCCTTCGCCATTCAGGCACGGCCCCCCTTTTCCTCCTGGTCCTCCGGTCTCAGCCCGCCAGAGCGGGGAAAGGCTCATCACCCAGCTACACACTCTCCTCTCCTCCGGCCGAACCTGAGAGTTCTCTTCTCTAGGAGCTTTTCTAGAAAGGCCCGGTTTTATTTCAGCTATCCTTCCTGTGCCCCCTGGAGACCTTTGCGCCCCTCTCGAGCTCCTCGGCCGGCGCGACCAGTAGGGTGACACAACGCAGGTGGCCCAGTTAAATGTGAATTTCAGATAAACAACAAATAAAATTTTAATATATGCATCTCCCTCCCCGCCAACATTTGGGACATAGTTACACTAATACACTACATATTATTTGCTATTTATCTGAAAGTCACATTTAACTGGGCTTCCTGCTGTTTGTTTTGTTTTGTTTTTCTCTAAATCTCGAAGCCCTATCCATGAGAGCAGAGATGGAGTCATCAGCAAACCGGTCTAAGTTTAACCCTTTGTTCCCGGGGCAGGTGCACATTGTGGGGGGCACTCTGTCCCTGCCTTGAGAAGCCCACACCCTGGAAGGGAGGCAGGCTGATCAACTCGCTGCTAGGGTAGAGCGTGTCAAGGGCGGCGCTGACCCAGGGGCGCCTACCTCTGCCCGAGTGCGGCGGGACACTACTCGCAGCCAGTTCCCGATGGTGGTGAGTACTGAGGCGAAGTAGGCCAGGCCGAGCAGGATCCAGAACCACACCAGCGGCTGGTAGGCTGCATTGCCCTGGTTGGGGCTGGCGCCTGGGATACCACCGGGGAAGCCAGAAAGACGTTGATTGTGGAGCAGGTTTTAAGCCTGTGAGCTCCTGGTTCACTGCCCCTCTTCTCAGCTCAGTGAGAGGATCCGCCTCCCCAGGGCAATCAAAGGGTGTGTGCTAGAGTGTGTGTGAATGCATGCAAGACGACTGTGCATGACTTGAAGGTGTGCCAATAAAAATATGCACGTGAGTGTGCTCACGCGCAAAAATGTGAGCATATGGGAGGGGTGCACATATATAAGAATGTGACGTGTGAGGGGTGCACTTAATCTATGTGTGAGCATGCATCGGGGTGCAGGCATGCAAGAAAGTAAGGGCACATGAGGTGTTGCATCCGTGCAAAAACGTGAAGGTGCATTCGGTGAGGGCATGTAGGGATTGGAGCAAGTGCCTGTGAGCGCACACACACCACAAGGAATTTGGAGGGAGACGCAAGAGTGCAGGGCCCCTGGGCATGAATAAAGTGGATAGGGAAGTGCAGCGAAAGAAAGGTGGCCTCACCGGCCACATAGTCCCCGAAGCCCACCGTGGTGAGCGTCACTACGACGAAGTAGATGGCCTCCAGCTTGCTCCAGCCCTCCACGTAGCAGAACACGAACGTGGGCGTGAGGACAAAGAGCAGGCAGCCGATCAGCAGGAAGAGCACCGCCGATAGTATTCGCACCAGCCCCGGTGGCACATGCCACTTCTGCAGGGAGGGGCAAGGGGCAGGAAGGACCCAAGGCGTCGCCAAAACCTCCAGTCACACCCCCCACACACACCGCCTCCTCTGGGATCCGGTGCGCGAGGCTCCCACGACCTCCAGGTCCGCGCTCTCGTGCGGGGCGGGGACGTAGGGAAGGGTAACCCGAGCTCAACGCGAGGGCACGCAGGGCAAGGAGCAGCTCACCAGGAAGATGGCTTCGATGTGACCGATGCCGCGGCGCAGAGAGGAGCCCAGCCGGTCCCCGACCCCTGCCAACAGGATCCCGAACAGCGGGATCCCCACCAGCGCATAAAAGATGCAGAAGAGGCGCCCGGCATCTGTGCGCAGGGCCGCGTTGCCATAGCCTGGGCAGAGGGGCCGTGCAGGGAGTCTAGGGGCTGCCTGGCCCCCACTTCCTCCCTCTGCACCTTCCCCCAGGAGAAAGCCCAGCGGCCCCTTGCCCCCCTCCAGGTGCCCAGTCCCCTCCCCCACCGATGGTGGTGATGATGGTGCCTGAGAAAAAGAAGGCGCTGCCCAGGTCCCAGGCTGAGTGGTTGCTGTTACTGGTTGAGTTGATGTCAGGGTCCGCACCCCCTCCCAGGGCATCAGCCACATCCTGCAGGACAAGGCGCAGAAGGAGGAACCTCAGCCCTTCCCTACTGTCCTGGCGAAGCCCCTGGCCCTCCAGCCTCCAGAGTGGTATCCTCCCTCCTGCTCCCAGCGCTCCCCCTCCCTCCGGTCTTCCCGAGGGCTGTCCCTCAGAGTAGACATCGCAAATTGGGTGGCCCAATTTTGTTTGACCTCCACATTGTTTTAGAAACATTTTAGTTGGGACGCCTGGGTAGCTCAGTCGGTTAAATGTGGGACCCTTGATTTCGGCTCAGGTCAGGATCTCAGGGTCCTGAGACTGAGCCCCAGGTTGAGCTCACGCTCAGCGCTCAGCGCTCAGCAGGGGAGTCTGCTTGGGATTCTCTCTCTCCCACTCCCTCTGCCCCTTCCCCCCACCACCCTCCTCTTGGTGAGTGTGTGTTAGAGCGCTGTTTCTTTAAATAAATAAATCTTAAAAAAAAAAAAAAAAGATTTTAGTTATTTGCCCCTTAATTTCACACAAAAGATTTCAAGTTTACAGAGGTCAGGAGCACAGACCTGGACCAGACTGCCTGGGTTCAAATCTCAGTGCTGTGTGACCCTGGGGCAAGTTAACTCTCTGTGCCTCAGTTTCTGCCTCTATCAGGTTCGGATGATGATGCTAACGCCTACCTCAGACAGTCGTGCAGAGTTAAAGTAAGCCCTGTGTGTTAAGTTAGTCCAAGGAGTGATCATGCCCAGTGATTCCCAGCTTTCCACAGACCCCACCACTCCCATTGGCCCTAGGAAAGCTGAGTTTTGAGTTCCTTGCCTTGGAAAATCTGATGGAAGTTAGGGACCCTTTCTCCAGGAAGGTTCATATACCATCAAATTTTGTACCCAATATTGGAAGGCTGGTAGACACACAAACCCCCGCCCACCCTGTTGAAGTCCAAGCTGAACCCTGTGCTACATAGTAGGTGCTCAATAAATAAGATTAAATTAATAAAATGGCCATGTGTCTGCCCCTCTTGCCACCTTGCAGTCCTTTCAAGACAGAGTCTGTGTTTTGAGAGTGTCTGCCTTAAGTGACAGTGGTCAGAGCATAATGAGGGGGGCAGAGGGGCCCTTCCCCAAGGAGCACAGAGCCAAGGCACAAAGGCAGTGGGGGAGATCAAAAACCACATTCTTTCTCTCCGAATGCAATCCTCATTAGCAAGACCCATTCCAAATTAATCTTCCTAAAGTGACTGCCCCAAATCCTCCATAGCTCCCTGCTGTCACAGCAGAGAGTCCAAACTCCCAGCCCAGGATCTCAGCCCCTTTTCAATCTAGTCCCCACCTCCCTTTCCCCAGCCTTCTCTACTGGGACCCCCATTTGAAATCCAAGTTGCAGTGACCTTACCCCCAGATTTTCTGAGATGATCCCATTTCCTGTAATAGTAATTCTTAAATGAAGCCAAGAAGTGAAATGTATGATTAAAGTGATTTAAATTTTATTTTGCAAGACTTTTCCAATAAATTCACTACCTAGGGGGGAAAAAATCTCTTGTCATCCTGTGTGTTCTAATTTTTGCTTCGAATGACTAGGCATCTGCTAAATCCGAGTTCTGCAAAACACTCTGAGCTTTCCAACTTCCACGCCTTTGCCCATGCTGTTCCTCGGCCTGCAGGTCTCTTGCAAACCAATCACACATCTCTAAATTCTACATGGCTCACCTGCCTCATTTCAATTACCTGCTCCTCCCAAAGCCCCCCCTCCCCATCTCCCTCCTTGCCCCCAGCACCTAGCTTGGAGCCCAGCATACAACAGGTGTTTAACAAAGAAGGAAGCAAGGAAAGCTCCCTTTCCACTGAATCCTACAGTGATCTGTCCATGGATCTGTCTCCTCATCCCAAAGTGACAGCCTCTAGGGTAGAGCCTGCCTCTGTTCCACCCCATAGCAATTTCCCTGCTCACCCTACAGTGTATTAGCACAGCACCTAGCACATAGTAGGTGCATAATTGCTGCAGGACTGCCTAGTTGTGGAAGAGAAAGCAGCTGTCGCCCACACTTCTAATTTCTGCCCTTCCTTTTCTTCTTTTTTTATCCAGGAAAAAAGCATTTACATCGTGAAGATAAAATAGGTCAGACTCCCTCCCTCCCCTGCTCTGCCCTGTGGTTTGGCCAGACACATTCTCCTTCCCAGGCCTCTCTGAGCCTCACTGGGCATTCTGGAAGTGTCAGAGCCAATGCCAAGCCGCCTGTGTCCCAGCCCCACCCCATCCTCATCTCTCCTCCTGGCCCTGCCACCTTGGGAATCAGCTGGAACACTGAGGCCTCCAGGCCCATGGCTCCTCCCTCCAAAATAACAGGCAGGGAAGGAGGGGTACTCTTCAATAAAGTAATAAACATCAATTTATTAAAGTTAATCCTTGGGGTTTTTATATGATAGTGACTCAGAAATCACAGAAGCAACAAAGGTGCTTACCTGATAGTACCCCCAGGAGGCTGAAGCCCAGCACTTTCTTTAGTCATTGAACCAAAGTTGAACCCACCCCTTCCTCTGGCCTCTTCATCATAAGCATGTGTCCTGAGGAGAAGGGCTGCTTAGCCTGGTATCCATGGTGGTAGGCTTAGGGGATCCTGGAACCCTCTGAATGTGTCCCTCTCACACCCTCTGAAACCACCAGGGTATAAGTGCATTTTTCCAGGGGGTAGGGGAGTGTTCACAGTGTTCTTGGGCATCTCCAAGGCATCTGTGACTCCAAAGAAGTAGAGAAACCAGTGTAGGGTTGCCAGTTTCAGTAAATAAAAATACTGCATGGGACATATTTATTTTCAAAAAGTATTCGTTGTTTAGTGGCTAAAATTCACAATTATCCAGGCGCCCTGGATTTCATCCGGCAACCCGGAACCAGTGCATTATGCCTGCAAAATGTAACATATTTCATGTGCTCCAGCCATGTATTCATTTCTTCCTTCACTCGTTCCTTCACTCAACCACCATCACACTGAAGGAGACAGCTCAGGAGCTCAGTGCAAGGCCAGGAAAAGCAAAGCAGACAAATGCCCCCAAGGCCGCCATATTGAAAACACAGAGACCTGGATCCCAGCCTCTGCCCTGCACCCCTCAACTGCACCCTGCCCTCCGGGTGCCCGTCTGGAGGCGGCAAACCAGCGCAGGGCCCCACTGGCATGCAGCTACTTTTTTGGGGGGGGGTCATGGGTGACTGTTGAAGGGGCTCCTCCTGCCCACCCACGCACCTTGATGAAGAGCCCCAGGTCCTGGTCGCTCACACATGGATGGGCCCTCAGGAACTTCTCTCGGACCTCCCCCAGCTCCCTCTGGGCCTGCTGCTCGTGGGGCTGCTCCAGGGCCTGGAACACCAGGGCACCGGATACCAGGTAGAGCAGGACCAGCGCCAGCAGGGCCAGTAGGGTGGTGCTGCGCATGGCGCGCCCCGGGGCCCGGCCAATTCCGCTGCCCGCCTGGGGAGGCCGGGCAGGGGGCTCCTGGGGAGCTGCGGTCACTGTGGGCAGAACCAGGGATGCTGGGATCAATAACTTCGCCCGCCACCCCTCCACCCTCCTCCTCCAACCCCCACACACCCAAAGGTCCTTGGAGCCCCCAGCCCTACAGCCCATAGATGTCCTCTCTTCACATCCCTCTGCCAGGACACTTGGTACCAGGGCACACCCAGTCCCCCGACTTCGGTCCTTCCCCTTACCTCCATTGCCCGGCCCTCAGCCCCTGTCCGGGGACTCCAGGACGGGAGAAGAGAAGAGGACACCGGGAAGGGAAAGGAAGGACAGTGGAAGGGGGAAAGAGAGACTGAGCTTGCTGAGGGACCGGCAGGCCGAGCGAGAAAACGCCGGGGGCCTGGAGGGGGCGTGAGGAACCGGCTTCCAAGCAGGAGGCTGAGGGGGCGCTGAGGCGCGCGAAGGGGAAGCGGGAGGAGAGGCCGAACCGCGCAGGGCGGGGACGGGGATGGCGGGTCCCGGCTCCTCCGCTGCGGCTGCGGCAGCATCTTCGCGCTTCTCTCCCCCCTCCCGCTCTCCCCGCTCCGCCGCGAGGGGCCGGGCGGTGAGCGTCCCGGGTCTCCCAGCGCCCCGCCGGGCTTTCGAGGAACCCAGGGGCGGGCCCCGGTCGCCGCGCAGAGGCGAGGCCGGGCTGGGGGGAGGGAGGGTGCCCGGTTCCGGGAAGAAACGGGGCGGGAGCGACCAGGGCCGGCCCCGGGGCAGCATCCTCCGGGACAGCCATCAGCACCCCCCGGGGACAGCGGGCGGCGGCGCCCACGCGCACACACGCGGGCACAAAGACCCGCGCGCCCACGCTCCGCCCTGCGGCTCCCGCCAGCCCCGCTGCCCAGCCTGCACGCACACACTCCACCTGCACACTCCCCAGACTCGCGGGCACACCCGGACCCCCCGGGGCGTGCGCGCCGGGCCGAGGCACCCCAGAGGTCCACGCGCACGTGTGCACACACTCCCGTCCACACACCCAGGCCGCCGGGCCACCAAGCAGCGCCCGCCACCCAGACACACTGCACACCCGCCGTTCGCTCCCACCGCCTCCCGAGAGTCTTCAACGCCGACGCCTGGGAGCGTGCGGGCGGCTGGACGCGCGGCCGCACGGCTCCCGGAGGCGCCCACGCGCGGGGAGGTGCGCGCCCCGCCCGGCCGGTCGCCCCCTGCGCACCCCTCCCTGCCAGGGAGTCCCGCCCGCGCCCCGCACTCCCTCCCGCGTCAGCCCCGCACTCACTGTCGGCCCCGCTGCGGCTGCGGCTGCGGCCCGGGCTCCCGCGCGGCCTCGCGGGTGCCGGCTGGGCCGCGGAGGCGGCGGCGGCGGCGGCAGCGGCGGCAGGGGCGGAGCGGGCGGCCTCCGGGGCTGGGACCCCCCTCCCGCCGCCAGAAGCCCCCCTCCTTCCAAGCTTAACCCTTCCAGCGCCGCGCCTCCCTCCGTGCCGCGCCCTCGCTGCCGGCGCGGTGCCCCGCAGCCCCTTACCTGCGGCCGCCCAGCCCCCCAATTCCGGCCGGTCTCGGCAGGTGAGGGGCAGAGGAGCCCGAGACGGGTCGCCGTTGGGTCCGGCCCGGAGTCTCAGACTGGAGTCCTGGTACTGCCCCGCCGGCCATCCAGTGTGGCCAGCGGCACGGCCCTGGCCTTGACATCTGCCGGCTCACCTCTCCGGACAGGCGCCACGTTAATCTCCCAGCATCTCCCAGGCCCACTACGGATCGGAAGGGCCCTCAGCTCCCCGCCCCTGGGGACAGCCTGGCCCATGGGCTCAGCACTCCTGAGGGAGGCGGCCCCGCGGGACAAAGGGGTGGGCGATCCACTGAAACAAGCTGAAATTGGCTGAGGTAGGGTTGGGACCCAGTTCTGGAAAGTCATGCCGGGGTACCTCCTGCCCCCACTCCCGCCCCATCCCTTGGTCCTTACCCCCGTGGCCATCCCAGCATGGAACGCGAGCCAGCACTCCCCCACAGTCTGAGCAGCCGGGGCTCTGGCAGGTTTTGGAGCTGCTCCCCTCTGTGTTCCCACCCACTTCTTTAAACCCTGATCTCTCCAAAAATCCTCTGGCCTGGGGTCTTCAGCCCTCACAGTGGGTGGCTTTAAGCCTGGGTTCTAAGGCTGACCACCCCCTACCAGTAGAGGGCGCAGATGTGTTCTCAAGCTCTCCAGAGCCTCCCAGTCCCTACTTACAGAAAAGGGATGATTAATTATGACCTCGGAGTGCTGTTCTGAGCATTAAGGAGGTATTTGTAAATGCTCAAAACGGAGGCTGGCACACACAATAAAGTGCCCTACAAACGTTAGCAATTTTCCTTTCAACAAATAGTGACTGTTCAGCTTCAAGCTGATTCTCAGTCTCAGATGCCCTCCCTTGGGAGGCCCTGAAGGCCTGGTGCCCAGGAGCATCCCAAGTGAAGAGTTTCAAGGCGGGATCGGTGGTAGGCTCCAGGAACTCCGAGGAGCTGTGACGTCCGGGTACATGGACAGGAGAGAGACCCTCTGATAAATGACTCCCAGCCACAGGTCAGATGACAGCCCTACCAAGGTTGTGGCAGCAGCAGGCAGCGACTGTAGCTTCAGGGGCAGCCAGAGAAGGGGCCCTCAGGGCCACCAGGCAGACTATGTGGGGGCAGCCCAACTATCTGGCCAAATCCACACCTGGTGGGGAGGTGGGGGCTACTCAGTCACAGGCCAACTCCTCCACGGCCCTGGACTAACCCCTGGCCCGGAATGCCAGGTTGGGAAGGATGACAGGGGAACAGGGTTTCCAGAAATCCCAACCCGGCAAGGGGAACAGACATAAGAGACCCATAATCATGGTGCCACAGGACCCCGGAGGGGGGACATGGCTCCCTGATCTGGAGATAAACGGCTTCATAAAGGAAGCAGGTTTTGAGGAGAGTAGACATTTTTCAAGTGAGGAGGTGACTGGGGTGGAAACTGACTTTTCTGGCCTCCTTGCCCCTCAGGCTGCAGGCTCCCTCCCTCTCCCGGCCCATCAGCCTGCGTCAGGTAAGTGACCCCCGCCCAGCCCAGCCACGCCTTTGGAGGACCTGGGTCTGGTCAGCCCTCAGCTGTATAGGCCGTGGTGCAAGGAACACAAAGCCGACAACTGACAGACAGTGAACTGATGAGGGGCACAGAGACTGTTTATTGAGGGGCAGGTGCAGGAGAGGTAGCCGGCTCCGGTGCAGAAGTGGAGGCGGCAGGTCATGCCAAAGTGCTGCGGGCATCTGGCAGCCAGGGCCATGCCCCCCATCCTAGGGGACAGCATAAGCTCACTATGACAGGAGTAGCAAGGAGCCGGCCAGGGGAAGAGGCGGCCACAGCCTCCCATGATCCTGGGCAAGAAGCGGCAAATGTACTTGGCACAGGGGCCTGGGATTGGAGGACTGGGGTCTGGGTGTTCAAGGGGGAGAATAGGAGGGGATCACGTCTGTGGAGTGGAGTAGAGACTGTGGTGGTGGCCACCTGGTCCCAGCACCTGGGAGAAGAGCAGAGGAGTGGTCCGTGTCTGGCTGCCCCCGCACCAGCCTGGCTCCCGCCCGATGGCGCCGTACCAGCTGCCAGAGCCTAGGCTGCCCGACATGCTGCAGGCAGAGAAACAAGGATCGGTCCCAAGGCAGGGACCAGGGCCACATCCACAAGAGTCAGGGCGGGGAGAGAGGCTTAGCACAAGGCCCAGGGCCCCAGCTTTCCAGCCCCCAGGGCCTGAACCCTCTAGACTGTGGCAAACTGCATCTTGGGGTGGAAACCAGAGGGGACCACACCCTGTACAGACAGGAAACAGGGGCAGGGCAGGGGCGGGGCCGAGGGGGAAAGTGGCAGGACCAGGCTCTAGATCCCCATGGCTCAATGGAGCGAGCTGGGAGCCCGGAGGACCTGAGGCAGGGCCAGGGCTCCTACCTGGTGCTCTCGCTACGGCCGTGCTCCCAGGAGCAGCCCTCGTCCTCACAGTGCCCGGCCCGGTCAAAGAAGTAGGAACGGGAGCCAAAGACCTGCCCATTGAGGATGCGGCTGGTGCTCTGGGGGAGGAAACCACCATCGTGCTTTCTCCCGCCCCACCATTGGCTTCCCACAGCCCCGCCAGACCCCGGCCCAGGGATTCCCAGCGTCCACCCGTCTCCGCTGGCCCTCACCAGGTCCTGTGGGGGCCGGTGCACCCGGAAAAAGCCCACCAGCAGGGTGGTGGGCAGCAGCTCCCACACAAAGAGGATGAGGCCAAACACCAGGTAGCCTTTGTTCCCCAGGTCATTCACCAGGTCCGCCTGTGGGAAGGCAGGGTTTGTATAATCCACAACTGTGCCGGGGGGAGAGGGGGGACCCAGACAGAGTCGAGGCCAACTGGGGGCCAAGAGCCATGGCTACTAAGGAGGCAGCCGAGGTGCTGAATGCCCACCTGGTCAGAGACGTTGTACCAGTCATAATCGAAGGCATCCAGCCGGCTCCGGGGGGCCAAGGCCAGGGCTGCCAGGTTGTAGCAGGCCCGGCTGGCGTAGAGCAGGACCATGGCGCCACCCATCGCAGCTGCCTGGCACACACTGGTCCCCTGGCACAGATGACAATAGAGGACCCTCAGGGAGGAGAAGCTCCAGCTCCCTCTCTACCCGGAAGATCACTGCCCAGAGACCCCAAGGGACACCCGGGGATCAGGGCTTGTGGCCCTACCTTGGCCTCCAGGTAGATGCTGGTGGAGGGCGCCCGCCGGGCGACCAGGCAGAGGCAGGCAGCAAGAGAGAGTGCGCAGATAACAAAGAGGGAGTCGCTCACCAGGACTCGCACCAGCAGGAGGGCCCAGGGCTGTGCCCGGCGCCGGCGTGACAGCACAGCGCACAGCACGTTCACCAGCAGAAAGAGCAGCGAGGCCCCCACGAAGGCCCCTCGGACAGCCAGCCTGCAGCCCACAGCACAGTCAGCCCCAGACAACCATCGCTGGCATTCACTGACCCCCCAAATGCCCCCAGGAGACCCCAATGTCAATCAGAACCAATCCAGACCAATCCAGTCTGAACCCCGGCTCTCCAGTTTTACAGATGGGGAAACCGAGGCCCACAGAGGTCAGATGGTGGCTGACAGCTATAATACAGTGGAAAGAACACAAGACTGAGAGTTAAAGACCTGGGGTGCGCCTGGTGGCTCAGTTGGTTGTCTGCCTTTGGATGGAGTCATGATCCCAGGCTCCCTGCTCAGCAGGGAGTCTGCTTCTCTCTCTTTCTCTGCCCCTCATCCCCACTTGTGCGCTCTCTCTCTCTCAAATAAATAAAATCTTAGAAAGAAAGAAACAAACAAACAAACCTCGGGGTAAGCCCTGGCTCTGTCTTCTGCCAGATCTATGACCTTGAACATGTGGCTTTACCTTGCTGGGCCTCAGTTTCTTCATCTCTCAGATGGGGATAGTAACAGCCTCACAAATAAGTTGTAAAAATGTTTGTGAAAGCTCTTAATAAACTGTAAGACGTTATATAAATGACCAGCTTATCACCATCCAAGGTCAGCCAGAAGAGCAGTCTGGGGCTTCCGAGGGCTGGGCCCTCCAGCTCCTCTTCCATCGTGGATGACGCTGGGACCCTTTCCCTTCACACTAGCATGGCTGTTTCTAGCAACGCTGCCCTTCACCGGTGCAGTGCCTTTGCTGAGCCGTCTGCACCACGTGCCTAACTTTTCATGGCCCTTTTGCAAACATTTGCTAAGTTGTCCCCGCCTAGGCACTGCACAGGGTTGGCAAGAAATGGACGCCAGGCGGCTCCCTGCCCCTGGCCTGGGGGATATGCCCATATGTCCAGTGTACTTACAAGCCTCGGCTCATCTCCGGCCGGCGCTTCGCCTTGGCCTTGAACACAACCTGGGAGCAGAGATGCCCATCATTCCTTTGGGCCTCTGGGTTTGCCACCCCATAGCCCACCCCCACCCGTTACCATGGTTACCTGGGCAAAGTAGAGGTTCATAAGTGTCAGTGTGAAGAACTGCAGGCAGACAGGGCAGCAGTAGAGAAGCCAAAAGGGCAGGGGTCCCAGACGGTTGGCTCGGGGGGTATCTCGGAAGTAGAAGGAGAAGAGGGTGGTGCGCAAGGCAGCCCAGAGCAGACAGAGTGCCAGGAACACTGTCTGATAGCTGAGACGCTTGTGCCCATATAGGAGCACCAGCCAGAGTTGGGCATATACCGAGAAGAAGAGCAGAGCATACAGAGTGGTGTAGGCCGCAGTCAGCCCCAGGGTCACGGCAGGAGGCAGCGCAGGGACCAGCCCAGCAGCAGGCACCAGGCCAGACAGGTTACTCTCCATGTCAGGAAGGGAGGTCTGAATCCCAGAGAAAGAGATGGAGGGCTGGCAGGGGGCCAGGGAAATAAATATGGAGGGGTGGGAGTTGCAGGGTGCAGCGACAGAGACGGGGAGCTCAGGAGGGAAGAAGCTGCAGCTGGCCAGGCCCTTCCCCCTCAACAGAGGGACCCTGCCCTTGCAGCGGGACACAGACAGCCTGGGGCCTGGGCCCCTCACTCTGGAAAGTGGAAGGACAGACCCTGTGGAGGGCAGAGGCGGGAAGTGGGCAGGGTCTTGTCCCTGGGCCAGCCCCAGAGCCAGGGCGAGGGGGTGCAGAGGATGAAGGACAGGGGTCCCTGGCCTTGCTCGTTCGAGTCGTCCCGGCTGGAGGGGGAGAGCCGGCAGATACCCTTCCGCTAAAGGCAGCGGCCGCTGCCGGGGACGCTCAACGCCCAGCTCTCCCCCTCCCCAAACTGGCGGTCTCTCTCCCCTCCAATAATCCGGATTGGGGATGGCCTCTGCCTTCTGTCCTCGGAATTCCGGACGCTGCCCCCACCCCACCCCCCACTTCATCCAATCTCCAGCCTCGGAGGGTGCGGGAGGAGGCCGACGCCGGGTCCTCGGGACGCCGCTGGGGGAGCCGGCTCTGGTCGCTGGGACCCGGGGCTCCGGCTCCCCAGCTCCCCGGCTCCCGCTGCTCCGCCCCCCTCCTGCGCCTGCGCCTGCGCCTGCGTCTGCGCGGGCGCCGTTCGCTACGCTAAAGGCGCAGGGTCTGGCCCCATCAGCCCCGCTGCCCCGCGCCGCGCCGTCTACGGCGCGGAGCCGTTCGAGAATTGGCGCGAGGTGCGCCGCCGGCGGGTGCCACGGGTTACTAGAGGCAGCCGGAGGCCGAGACGCTGGGGCGGAACCGCATCCGGCGGGCGCCCGGGTGAGCCGTGCCCGGAGCCACCTGCCCTCGTTTGTTTGGGAGGCCGCCAGTTCCCGTACTTTTCTTCCCTATCCCCAAATCGAGATCGCGCCGCCCGCCCGGGGGGCGGCAACAACTTCCCCTCACCGGCTCTCCGAAGGAAACTTCCGCCCACAGCTAAGATGGCCCCCGGGCCCCGCCCCCTGGGCTTAACCCTCAGGGCCCAGCAGTCCCGGGGAGGCACGCCCGCCCCACTCCCTGGCGGGCCGCGGTTCCCGCTCACCTGGCCGGCAGCCTGCTCGGCGCGAAGCCTCAGCGAGTCCTACGGCCACCCTCAACGGGGCCCCCTCTCCTGCGCCCGGGCAGTCATCCTGCCGGGGAGGAGGCTCCCTTGCTTATCTCGAGCGCTCCGGAGCTGGCGCGGAGAGTAGTGCCCCCGAGGCGGGCGGTGAGAGGTTTCCACTGTGGGGAAGAGGGAGCGGGACTTCCCGACCCGGCTACCCAGTCCACACGGAGCAGTGACAACAGCAGCAACACTTGCATCCAGATGAAGCAGTGACAACAGCAACAACACCTGCATCGACGGCTGAGCTTCAACTGAAGCTTTGCAAAGTGCTTTCATCCACAGTAATCACTCGGTTTAAAAAGTTCACTGGCTTCTAAGGGAGGTGTCGTTATCTTCATTTTACAGGAGTGGAGACTAAGGCCCAGAGGGACTGAAGGGCTTGTCAGCAGAAGCTGGTCTCCAGGTTCCAAGTGGGGACCCCAGAGAATCCCTCATCTGCTCCCACACATGGCCCAGGCACAAGGAAGTCGGGAACTGAGCGGCGGGAAGCGAGGAAGGGACCCAGGACGAGGGCGGCGGGCCGGGAGCGGGTCCGCAGGCGGGGGCGGAGCCTGGGCCGGGAGCGGCCACGCCCCCTGGCCAGCCCTAGTGACATTTCAAGAGCTGATTGGCCAGGGTCGGTGACAGTTCCCGTTGCCGGGGCAACTAGGGCCGGGCTCCCTCGGTACTAGAGGGAGGCGGCAGGCCCGCGTCAGGGGCCTCGAGATCGGGCTTGGGGTAAGACTCGTGTCCCGTCACCGAGGGCAGGGTGGGCCGGAGCCTAAGTAGGGGCCTGGGACTGCTTCACAGCACCAGGGCTCCAAAACAGATTTAGGTCCTGGGTGGACAGGCTGAAAGACCTGCCCAGCTAGAGTCAGTGGACAAATCCGGGCCTGGGAGGCAGGGTGAACTTGGGGTTCTAAGGTGGGAGAGGGAGCTAGAAGCATCTGCTGCCCCCCCTTCACTGGCCACCATTTGCCCCAGCTGTGCCCTAACTACCTACCATGTTGCCCCCACAGCCCAGAGCATGTTCCAGATCCCAGAGTTTGAGCCCAGTGAGCAGGAAGACTCCAGTCCTGCAGATAGGGGCCTGGGCCCCAGCCCCACAGGGGACCGGCCCCCAGGCCCTGGTAAGCACCGGCAGACGGCCCCAGGCCTCCTAGGGGAAGCTGGTCACCAGCAGGGGCAGCCGGCCAGCAGCAACCACCATGGAGGTAGGTACCCACCTCCCAACCACCTGCCTATCCACCTTGCCCCCAGCCCGGTAGCTCCCCGCATCCCAGCTGCATCCCCACTCACTGGCTGGCTTCAAGTAAGTGCCTAACCTCTCTGCACCTCAGTTTCCTCTTTTGTAAAACAGAGCAATTAATCACCACCATTGTAGGGCTGTTGGGATGATTAGCAGAAATATATAGGAACCACTTAATTATAGTGCCAGCGCATGGTAAATGCTCAAAGAATGTAGCTGTTAGCGTAGGACCAGGACAGAAATCACCTAGAGACAGCCTGTGAGCCAGATGGGGGAAGTGACTTGCCTAAGGTCCCACTTAGTTGGCATTGCCTTTGGTAGGAAGCGGGGCTGGAAGACTCCAAGGTGCCCCACCCCAGGCTTTGCACCTTCCCTGAAATTGGACTTTAGCCCCCAGGTGTGTGCTTTCCTGCTCTGTGTCACACACCCACACTAGGGTCATCCTTGCCAGTTGCCAGGGGCAAGTGACCCCAAGGGGTCTATCCACACTCAGCGAGGGGACCCAGTGCTGAGATGGAAGGATGGGCACTGGAGAACAGCGGCCATTTCTCCCCATTTCTCCCCAGCAGCCCACCTCCCAGTGCCCACCCCAGGTGTCAGCACCTGGAACAACCATAGTGATCTTCTGTAAACAGAACTCCTATCCCTAACGTCACGAAGCCGAAATGACCCCATTGTCACGTTCGGAAACAAGAAGGCTTATGAAGTCCTGCTTCCCAGCCCGCACACACACACTTTGTCAGACTGAACTCCACAGGCTTTAATTCCTCTACGGTCCAGATCTTTGCGCTTGCTGCTCACAGCTTTCCACCCCCCACCTCGCTGTTCCTCTTCATCCTCCGTATCAAGTGCTTAATTTGTGCCACGTGCGGCCCCAGCTGCCAGGGGTGCATCAGTGAACAAAAGAGATAAAAGTCCTTGCCCTTTGTGGTGCCTCCATTCTAGTTGAGTGGAAAGAGACAGGCTGTCAACAAACAAACAAACAAATGGTACGATGCGTAATGGCAGCGCCAGAAACATTCTTGACTTTCTCTTTGGAATCCAGAGTTGGTGGGGGGCTTGGGGAGTGACTCTAACTGAGGTGATCAGGGTCAGCGTTGGTACGAAGCAACATTTGAGCCAAAGTTGGAAGTGGTCAGAGGTGAGCCTTGCCCCTATCTGCAGAAAAACTGATCCTGGCTGGAAAAACAGATCCTGGCCAAGGGAAGGGCAAATGCAAAGGCCCTGAGGGCAGGACACAGTCTGGGCCCCTGGGGGGAGGAGAGGTAGAGATGCAGTGAGGGATTAATGGGGGGGAGGGGCATCTGGGCAGGGCCTGGGAGGCCTGTGTCAGGAGGTTGGCTTTCACTTTGAGTGAAAACACACGGGAGGGCTTTGAGCAGTGGCAGGGCGGTCTGATTTCGGTCAACAGTACCACCAGGGGCTCCGTGTTGAGACTAGCCTGCAGTGGGCAAAAGCAGCCCGGGGAGGGGCGGGTGGCGTGCGGAGGAGGCTGCTGCGAGAGGCCCAGTGAGGGAGGATGTGATGGCTTGGGCCCGGTGGTGGCAGAGGAGATGGTACATAGCTGGGCTCTGGGTTTATTTTCAAGGTAGAACTGGCAGCATTTGCCAACAAACTGGGTGTGGGGTGTGCGGGGAAGAGAGAAGTCAGGGGTGGCTGCAAGGAATCTGGCCTGGGCACTTTGGAGGACTGAGCTGCTCTTAACTCTGACGGAACTTCGGCCAAATCAGGAGCCTGGTTTGGGCCAGGTGAGGGTAGAAGGGCCTTTTGGGCAGCCAGGTAGACATTTCCAGGAGGGATAGGTCCAGGCGGGATTTATACATGTGGGAGGTGGGAGTTGTCAATCACTGAGGTCGTGTTCTCTGAGGCCCGGGGAGTCAGTGTAGACAGGCAGGGGCCTGGGCTGAGCCTGGGGCTTTGGCCTTCAGAGGGCAGCAGCAGAGAAGGAGCCCGCAGTGGGGACCTGGAAGGAATTAGCAGCAGTATGGGAGGGAAACCGGGAGCAGGCAGGGCCCGCGCAGCAAGGGGATGCTTCTGGCTAGAGGAGGGCTGGGAGTGGAGCCCTGGAGTCGCCAACAGGGGGCCATTGCAGTTTGGGTGCGGAGGTTGAGGCTGAGCTCAGTTCAGTGGGGACGGATAACGGGAAGAGAGGTGGAGACAGAAAGGAGAGCCCGCTCTTGGCAGTTGTGCTCCAGGAAGGGGAGCAGAGAAGGCCCAAGGAGGATCGAGGAAGGGTTGTTCGGTTGTTGTTGGTGGTGGTTTTGTTTTTTTAAAAGGGGAAAGAAAATAGCCTGTCTATAAGCTGATGGGAGTAATCCAGGAGCCAGGGAACTACCAGATGAGGCAGGAGAGAAGGGAGGCTAGCTAGAGAGATGTCCTTGGGTAGGAGAGAGGGGTCTGGGGAGGCCTGGCTCAGCTAAACACGGGGCAGTGGACATGGGTGCGTGGTTGTGGGTAGATACTTCATGGGAAGTAGTAGAAGTTTCTCTTGTGGGTGCTGCCAGTTTCTCCAGAAAAGGGTTAAGGAGAGAGGATTAGGTTTGAAGTGGTCGTCCATCCTCAAGCATAGAGCATGCAAGGTGGGCTGGGCAATGTCAAGGGTGCCACTGGGTTTTATGGCCACGATTTTTTTTTTTTAAATTATAAACTTTTTTCCTAAAGATTTTATTTATTTATTTGAGAGTGAGTTAGAGAGAGAGAGAGCCCACGCGCATGAGTGGGCGGGAAGGGCAGAGGGAGAGGGAAAAGCAGACTCCCTGCTGAGCAGGGAGCCCAATGCGGGGCTCAATCCCAGGACCCTGGGATCATGACCTGAGCCGAAGGCAGATGCTTAACCAACTGAGCCGCCCAGGCACCCATGGCCACAAGCTGAAACGGAGGCGGCATGGCTGTGCTTTTTTCCAGCCCCACACTGGCTGCTGGGGGCTCGTGGGGGCCAGCGGGGAGTTGGAGTTTAACCAGAGCTGTGCCTGTCTCAGCCCAGCTGGGGAGGGGTGCTTGAGGGTACCTGCGAGGGGAGGGAATGGTTGGTGTGGTGTGTAGGCTTGCTCTGGGAGTTCTGGCGTCACTCGAGTGGGCTTCCAAGGGAGGGAGCCAGCCAGGTAGGAGCTGCGAGGCTTGGGACAGAGTTAACAGAAGGTTCTGACCGGGACTGAGAGCCAGACAGGGCTGGAGAAGGAAGGGCAGGGAAGGAGAGGCTGGAAAGCGGAAGGGCAACTTGGGTCCTGGGAATGAATAAAGACGGGGCTGGAGGAAGCTCCTGCACCAGGGGGTGTGCGGCCTGGGGGCAGAGGCGCCTTCCCCAGCTCCAGACCCTTCCAGGAGGAGGGCCGGAGGGGTGAAAATAGCCATCACGTGTAAGGACTGACAGGAGTTCTTAAACTTTGACTTAAGTTTTTTTTAATTTAAATTTAATTAATTAACATATAATGCATTAGTAGTTTCAGAGGTGGAGGTCAGCGATTCATCAGTTACATGTAACAGCCAGTGCTCATTCCATCACATGCCCTTCTTCCCCCCTTGACTTAGTTTTCTTTTTTTTTAAGATTTTATTTATTTATTTGACAGAGACAGCAAGAGAGGGAACACAAGCAGGGGGAGCGGGGGAGGAAGAAGCAGGCTTCCCGCGGAGCAGGGAGCCCGATGTGGGACTCGATCCCGATCCCGGGACTCCAGGGTCACGACCTGAGCTGAAGGCAGACGCCCAACGACTGAGCCACCCAGGCGCCCCGGTTTTCTTTTCTTTCTTTCTTTTTTTTTTAAGATTTTATTTATTTGACGGAGCGAGAGAGAGTGGCAGGCAGAGGGAGAGGGAGAAGCGGGCTCCCTGCTGAGCAGAGAGCCCAACATGGGGCTGGATCCCAGGACCCTGGGATCATGACCTGAGCTGAAGGCAGACGCTTAACCGACTGAGCCCCCCAGGTGCCCCTTGACTTAGTTTTCAATACCTAAAAAGCAAGTGATTTTCCCATAAAAGATCAGCAAGTGCTGGTGGCCTGCCAGAACCACAGAGCCCTGCCCCCTCCAGGTGGGCAGAGTCCCGTCACTCTTCATATTCCCTGCCCCTGGGCCCTGTGGGACTGGACTGTCCGTGTCCCCAGGGCAGAGACTGGGCCACCTTTTGTGCTGTGACGGCCCCAGCGCATAGCCCAGTGCCCGGGACAGGTAGGTGCACGGTGAGCCGTGGGGGTGTGTGTGGATGGTGGAGAGGGAAGGGGGGAATGCCCAGTGGGCCGGACCACAGGGTTCAAACCCAGCTCCACCCTCTATTAGCAGGTTGAACTTGAGCAGGCTAGTTAACTCTGTCGGTCTCTGTTTGTTTATCTGTAAAATGAGAATAGAACTTGTCCTCCCTTCTTGTAGGGAGGATTTGATCAGTTAATATAGGAAAAGTGCTTAGAAACAGTGCCTGGCCCAGCTTACTGCAGTTGTTGCTGTTATTGTTACTGTGAGTTGGTCCAGGCTCTGAGCAGAGCTGAGGACTGCTGTTCATTCGGTGGAGGTAGACATGAATAACCCCCATGCCCTCCTGAAAATGGACAAGTAAAGTTTAAGTTAGAACCAGAATGTAAAGGCCCTGAAAGCCACGCTAAGGAGTTTGGACTTTACCTCCTTGGCAATGGGGGGCCACTGAAGGTTTTAGGCAGAGGACAGACACAGTTGGGTTTAAAGCAGGGGTTGACAAACCACTAAGTCCCTATTTTTTTTTTTGTCAGCCCATGAGCTAAGAATAGTTTTGACATTTTTAAAATTGTAGTGGAATACACAGCAACACAATTATATATTGTTTATGGCTTCTTTCAAGCAGTGACCACAAAACTGAGTAGCTGTAACAGACTGCGTGGCCTGCAGTGCCCAAACATTTACTCTCTGGCCCTTTATCAAAAACATTTGCTGGCCTCTGCTTTAGAGTGTTTTCTGATTTAGCAGCTCTGAGCAAGATGGGATATGTTCTTTTCAGGGCAGTAAGGGATTTCTGTACCCCAAATGGCTTTAGGGTAGACAGGGAGTCTGGGCTTCCTGCAGGTGCCAGAAGCTGATGGGCCTCACGCGCCTGCTCAGTTTGGGGTGCCACATTGTGGAGGGGGCAAGCAGTATGTGAGCACCTGCATGCAGGTCAGGATTCAAACCCAGAGCTGCCTGATGGCAAAGCTTCACTGCCTCAAGGTGCCTGGATTACCACCGTTTTAAGTGTGTAAGGATGCTCTCAGAAGCGTGAACTTGGATGTGTCCGGCCCTACGTGCTTACCCAGAAGACCCACGGTAAAGAACTTAAAGCTTTGCTGGGCCTTGGGGCACCTCCAGCCAGAGGCCCCTCCCGCTCCCCCACCCCAGCCCCAGGAGGGCTGAAAGGATGGTGGGAGTGGTCAAGCCTGAGCACACACCCAGGCTCACACCCAGGCAGGAGCCACGCCCTCTCCCATTAACTTCCCCAGTTGGGAGAGGCCACCTCTGCCCTGCGCAGGGCCCTGTAGGGGCGAGAGCTGGTTTGAAGGTGGGATAGTTCAGAGCGAGCATGTCCACTCCCGCAGGGAGTTCACAGAAAATTCCTCAGTTTTTTTTCCAGTAAAGAGAAGGACACTTTTAAAAGCTCAGTTTACACATATGCTCATCATTCTGATGGTGGCTGGCTTGGCATCGCCAAGTCCATGGCTTTGGTGAAAACAGCCTGCCCCAGAGGATAGGCTCCTGGTAGGGCTGGCAGTCACAGAAGGCCCAGAGGTGCCTTCCCCAAGCGGCACCCCCAAGGTGGCCCGTGGGGCTGATGTTGGGAACCTGGGGCACGAGCATTAAGCACACAGGCCCTGGAGCCAGGCTGGTTGGGTTTGGATCCCACCTGCTAGCTGTGTGACACTGGGGAAGTGCCTCACCCTCTCTGTGCCTTAGTTTTTTCTCCTCTGTAAAATAGGGACAGTGAGGAACCTTCCTCATAGGGTACGGTGGGGACCTAATGAATCAATTCAGGTGAAGCGCTTCCAACCTGACATGGCGAGTGCTCTTCTGCTTGTTCTGATTTTTGGGCGAGGGGGCAGCATGAGCAAGTCACTCACTTTCCAGCTCTTGGGCCTAGCGTCTGTCAGGTGTGGTGGTTTGTGTGCATTCTTAAAAGCTAGTAACGGAGAATAGCTGACGTTCCTTGAGCCCTTAAGTGGCCAGGAGGGTGTGCCCACTGCAGGACCTCTGGCAGGTTCCTAACCTCCAGGTGCCTGCACTTCTTCATCTGTAATATAGGGGAACTTAGTGGCCACCTCCCTGGGAAGCTGGGAGGCTTCAGGATGTAAAGGGGACGGAACCTAGTGCTCTTGTCTCATCTGTTCCTGGGGTGGTCCTGGGAGACGGGGGCTGCCCCCATTTCTTTTATTTTTTAAGATTTTATTTGAGAGAGAAAGAGCATGAGCAGGGGGAGAGGGAGAAGCAGGCTCCCCTTAGAGCAGGGAGCCCAACGAGGGGCTCGATCCCAAGACCCCGGGATCATGACCTGAGATCCCAGGACCCCGGGATCATGCCCCGAGCTGAAGGTAGACACCCAAACAACCAAGCCACCTAGGTACCGCTGCCCCCATTTCATAGAGGAAGATATTGAGGCCCCACCAAGTTAGAAAAGGGCCCAAGGTGGGGCATCTGGATGGCTCAGTTGGTTGGGTGTCCGCCTTTGGCTCAGGTTGTGATCCCAGGGTCTTGGGATTGAGCCCTGCATCTCCTTGGGCTCTGTGCTCAGCGGGGAGTCAGCTTCTCCCTCTCCCTCTGCTCCACCCCTCTGTCCGTGAGCATGCACTCTCTTCCTCTCTCTCTCTCTCTCAAATAAATAGAATCTTAAAAAAGGGGGGGGCACAAGATCACAATGCAGGAATCTGGTTGAGGTGGGCCTCCTGCCTCTGCCCATGCCCCCACACTCCACAGAACTGGAAAGTGCTCTGTAGGTGGGCCTGTCCTTATCAAGGGTCTTTCTATTCCTGTCTCTTCCATCCTTATTTCTGATTTAGCTGCCTGTTCCCACTTCCACCTCACTCCTCAGAGGCTTGACGGTGTTCCTGCTTAACCTCAGGCCTGGACTTCGGTGAAGCTCGTAACAGCCAGGAGCTCTGACCACCCTCTTAGCCTAAGCCTTTCTGGATCCAGCACCCTCTTCCCTCCTTAGCTTTCTTAGACGTCTCTGGAGCTGGGCCCCTTGGAGGCCCTGCAGCCCCCAAAAGTTACCTGCAGGGCTTTGCGTAAGGTCCTGTGGGAGAGGATGAGACACTGTTATACCCTGGCTTCAGAGCCTAAATCTTACTTCCTCCAAAATGCCTTCCCTGACAGATGGCGCCTTGCTGGGGCCCCTGAGCACCTTCCCCAGCTCTTGTTTTCATGCTGGCTTTCACGCTACTAGGTAGCTCTGGGTTTTTGTTCCTGGGACTGGTTCTAGGTCTCTGTTGGTCTAGATTTTGGGGTTGGGGTTGGCAGGAGTGGAGGGATGGCACAAGGTACACAGGTCAGACAGACTCAGAACACAGGAGAGGCGACCGTGAATGAGAATCTGTCGTTTACTTTCAGCTTTCAGAGCACTTTCACACTGTTTTATGTGACCTTTCCACGGCCACTGGTTAGCAGGGAATAGGTCTGTCCCCACACAGAGGTGAGCACACTGGCTCAGAGTTGAAGGGTGGTCTGATAAGGGAAGAGGTGTAGCTCAGTGGTTGATCACTGGACTCTGGAGTCCAAGAAACCTCAAGAGACTTCCAACCTGAGAGCTTCATACTGTGTGACCGTCGACAAGTCTCCGCTCTCCAAGCCTCTGTCTTCTTGTCTATAAAATGGAGGCAGTGTTAGGACTCACTTCTTAGGAGGTTAGGAGCATAATGAGGGAATTCCCAGGGCTGGCACATAGTGCTCCATAATCAAAAGTCAACAGACCCTTCCGACTCTTTCTCCAAAGCAGGTGCTTGGGAGGTCCAGACATGCTGCTGACAGGTCCTTGCTCTCCAGGGGCCCAAGGTCTCCCTAGGCCACAACAGTGAAACAAATGGGCCCCAGCAGATCACTTGCAGAGGTGGAGTTCAGCCCTGCCTAGGGCAGGAAACCTCATCCAGGTGATTGATTTCCTCCAGGAGTGCCCTGAGGCCCCATGGTCTTGCGCTGATAACTATACTACTTACGTCCTTGTTTTATGGCAGGCACAGCGGCAGAGGCCATTCAGTACACTAAGGGCCTGGCCCATTATTGGGGCTCATTTAAGATTTGTGGGATTAATGAGAAGTTAATTCGAATCTTCACAAAAGCCCCATGAGCTTTACATATGAAGGAACTGAACTGGGCTTCCGAGGTACTGTGCACACAGAGACATCACCGGGCGAGGAGCTGGTGCCAAGGGCTTTGGCAAGGCTGGGGGGCGCGGAGGAGTGGAGACTCATGTCGCCCCCGTCCCCTGTGCAGGCGCTGGGGCTGTGGAGACCCGGAGTCGCCACAGCTCGTACCCCGCGGGGTCCGAGGAGGATGAAGGGATGGAGGAGGAAGAGCTCAGCCCTTTCCGGGGGCGCTCGAGCTCAGCGCCCCCCAACCTCTGTGCTGCACTGCGCTATGGCCGCGAGCTCCGGAGGATGAGCGACGAGTTCCAGGGCTCCTTCAAGGTGAGCGCCGGCCCCAAAGCGTGTCGGGATCTGTAGTTCCGGGACCCCTCCTCTCCCTCTGGCCTGACCCTTCCTGCGTCCCAGGGCCTGCCGGTATCTGTAGTCCAGACCGTGCGTCAGAAGGCTAAAGCGCTTGAGTTCGCCAAATTCTCGGGGCGCGAGGCATGCTGGTATTTGTGCTCCCGGTCGGCCCCTTTCCGATATCCGGGTTCTTTGGCCTCAACTTCAGAATTACTTAGTTCTTGAATTGCTGTCCCGGCTTCGCGGCTAGGTCTCGGTCTCTGGGGCTTACAGGGTCTTAGGCGTTCTCTCCCCGCGTCCCTGGCACGGTGCGTCTGGGATCTAACCAGTCCCACTCCTGAAGGCCCAAGCGATCCTTCCACCTTCTTTCCCTCGGTAGAGGGCATGCCGGGAGCTATGGTCTTTAGGTCCGCCGGCATCTCACTTAGCGGTGGGATTCCGGAGGTGGAGGGCTCCGACTCGGGCTGCCAGGGCAAGCTAACTCATTTAACCCTTTCCTCCTCCCGCCCCGAAGGGACTTCCTCGCCCGAGGAGCGCGGGCACAGCGACGCAGATGCGACAAAGCCCCAGCTGGACGCGCGTCATCCAGTCCTGGTGGGATCGGAACTTGGGGAGAGGAGGCTCCGCCCCCTCCCAATGACCAGTCCCACAGCCCGAAACTCTTCCCCCCTTCTCGGCGCCGCCGGCGGCCATCTTGGCTGTGGGCGGAAGTCTTTTCCGCAGGCTTTATGCAAGAAAGAGGATCAGTTCTTTCCTTTTCGAAGGAGGCGATCTGACCCAAAGGCCGAATTCCCTTCCGGTGTGTACGAGGAGTACGGAGGGGTTTGGCCCCGTCGAAAGTTTTGAAGTTTATCCGCCCTTAGCCGCCGGAAGTGGCCCCGTGACCCCGCCCCCGGCGCTGGGCTACCCCTAGCGTCTGCGCCAAGTTGCAAGCTGGGAAAGTTCTAACTTCACCAGAGCCCTTTCCTCCGCGGTATCGCTGCGGGCCATCGCTGGCAACGAAATATGCTAATAAAGCCCGCGTTTGTGCCGCCGAGTCTCCTCGCTCCGTCGCGTGGGGTTTCGCAGGCTGGGGAAGCGCTAGCTAGCACTGACAGTTTCATAAGGTGCCCTCGCTTTTCACGGCTCTTTTTGAGTGACTTAACCTGGAACCGAGACCAGGAAGGGGTCCAGGCGGCGACCAGAGCCAGGGCTGCTTGGCCTCCGGAAAGCGGAGCGCAGCCGGGCCTCGGGCACCTCCAGGTCCTTATCTCTAATATGCTAATTGGGAACTGCAGGCCGGCCGGCCGCCGGAATTCCGCACTCTGCAAACCGTGCCGCCGTTCCCCAGGGAGGGTCATTTGTTCCTATTTGGGTCAGTCCTTTCAAGCAGCTACTGTGTGGCCGGCCTGGAGCCAGCTCTGTCCAGGGAACTGGCAGGACGTGCGGAGCAGGGGAGGGGGCGACGGAAGGCTGGGCCCAGGGCTGTGACTGGACTGGTCGCTAGGGAACTGAGAATCTTCACCAGGACCTAGGAGCAGAGCTCGGAGCTCAATTCCAGAAAGATTTATTGGCGCCCCCTATAGACCGGCCAGCGCTTGGTACCGGGTACACAGAGATGAATTACGCCACAGCTCTGCCGTCAGAAGCTTCCCGGCGGCCGGGGGAGAACCAGCCTCTTAGAGTGGAGTTACCGCCAGCTGAGTGCTATAACAGGGACTCAGAACCGGGGTGAGGGCGGCTCCCTCCGGCAAGGGGAAGTCCGGGAGGGCTTCAGGGAGGAGGTGAGTTAGCGCTGGGCCTTGAAGAGAGAGATGGAGGAGGGAGCGGTCATTCCCCGTAGAGAAAAGAGTGGACCCATGGAAGGATGGGGGGGGCAGCAGAGGCCAGGATTCTGAGGGGGCTGGAATGTCATATCGGGGCGTTTGGAGTTTAGCCGAGCCTTTGAGGACCCAGGGACTGACATGGAGTGTTTCTGTGTGTAGAGGCAAGCCAAATCAGGAAGATAGGCCTTGGTGGCTGAGGGGCCTGGCCACAGAATAGAGTACGCCAATTTGGGGACAGGACCAGGCCTGACCACAGACGCAGGGAGGGCTTGGACAATGGTATTAACCCTGAGGGAGCAGGGCAAAGGGGAGAGGCCCCCAGCCCTGGGAAGGGCCAGCTCTGGAAGCCCTTGCTCTGTCGCCTCCCCACCCTATCTGTTTGCCTGAGGCTGCAGCAAAAACAAAGAATGAAAACACTCAATTGGCAGGAGATAAGCCCAGATAAGAGGCTGCCTTCCTCTGGAGGAGGGAGGCAGTCAGCCGGGGAAGCGCCAGGAAGCTGGGAGAGGCCTTGAAGAAGTGCCAGCCTGACCCTGTGGCAGAACCTAGCCGCACCCTCGCTGCGGGGTCTCTGCCACTCCACGCTGTCCCGAGGCCGAAGACAGTCTGTCATAGAGGGTCCAGGCCCACCCTGCCTCCGGGTCAGGACATCTTGACTTAGCTGTGGCCTGGCACATGTGACTTCTGCTCTGGGCCTCAGTTTCCTCATCTGTAAAACAGGCATAACGTCTCCCTCACAGGGATGAGGGGGATGCTGGGTCTCCTGGTCCCTGTGAGCGTCTGTGACGGTCAGCTTCCCTTCTCCCAGGGGTCACTACCAGGCCCCCCCCAATTTGTATCACTGAGAGCCCGGGGCCCCTGATGGTGGACAGGTTCTGAGTGGACCAGGTCCATCCCCGATTAGAGTCAACTGCCTGCGAGGGGCCCAGAGCAGCCTTGACGGAAGATGCTGGGCGCTTGGGTCATTATCAGGCGACAGGAAGGGGGGGCAGGGAAGGCTTCCTGATGCACAGGCCTGAGCCTCTGTGAAGGGAGGACAAGAAGAGCCCACGAGGGAGAAAAGAAATGGGAGTGAGGGGGGTAGAAGCGATGGGTCAGGGACAGAGGGCATAAAGGCGGGAAAGCCTGGGGGAGGCCACTGGATGTCAGGTCATTGGGAAGATCTGCAAAGACCCAGGCAAGGAGGTCTCAAGGTTGAAACCCAGCAGCCCTCCGCTGAGGGCCTGACCTCAACCCCACAATGCCCACCAGCCCACTTTATAGATGAGGAAACCAAAGCCCCAGGAGAGCGGCAGAGCCAGGCCCAGGGTCCTCTCCAGAACTGCCCCCCACCCCAAACCACACTGCACACAGGGTCCCTGAAATCCACTTTTATTCATGTAAAAAAAATTCCCAAAGAATAGAGAAAGCATGTGACCCCCTACTTCCCAGAGCTCAAAGTCTCTGCCAGTGTTCCCCGGGGAAGTGAGGGAGACAGCCCCCACTCTGGGGCGCGGGTATCATAGGAGGGCGAAACCCTTACGGCCCACAGTGACCCAGCACCTTCCTTAGGACTGAAGGCAGGAAGGAGGGGCTGGGGACGAATGGGGCCCCAGGAGGGTGAAAGAAGGGAGTTAGTGTGGGGTGCTTGCCCCAGTTTAAAAAAATAAAATTTCTAAAGATAAAAAGTTAAAAAAAAAAAAAAGCATTAGTGTCTTAGCTTCCTGCCCTCCCAGCACCCATGCGGCAGCCACCTCTTGCTCAGCCAGTTCAGAGCTTGGTGTTCTCCTCTTGGCTCTCCGAGTCAGCGCCAGACAGGTGCCCACCGCTCCCAGGTGCGTGCCCGTTGCTGGCACAGGCCACCAGATGTCCGTCCCCCAGCCCCTCCGGCGTCTCGCCCAGCAGGCTCCGGCGGATCTCCTGGGGCAGCCTCGCCCGCTGCTCCTGACACTCCCGGGCTAGCTGGGCCAGCAGCTGAGGGAGGAGGAGGGAATGACACCGGCGAGGCCCGGCCACCTGGCGCTCTGCCCGCCCGCTGCCTGCTTCCCCCCAGGCCTCACCTTGGGCTCCTCTTCTACCAGCTGCTGGAGGGCCTGCTGCTGCCCGGCCACGAGGCGCTCATGCCGCTGCTTCTGGGCCTCCTCCAGCTGCAGGGGGGCGGGGGGGGGCGGGGAGGGCTGGGCTCGGGCCGAGGGTCTCTAAGGGAGGGGCGGGGAGGGCCCTCGGGCTCTGGCTGCGCATGGAGGTCAGGCAGGGGCAGGCTCCCAGGACTGGGGGGTGGGGGGATGGGGGCAGGGGTCTGAGGTGACCCTTAGAGCAAAGGTTCCGGACCCAGAGACTCCAAAGCCAATGGGACACGGTTGTAGACGGGTAGCTCTGGATACATCAGGGCCAGAGAGGGCCCAGAGGAAAAGGCTCTAGAAGTCCCTCTAGGGCAACATAGCCACACACAGGCCAGGCACTGAGGAGACAAGTTTCTCATGACTGAAGGAAGAGAGGGGTGGGCTGGGGCCAGGGTGGCACCTGAGCCTCACTCACCCGACGGATGGAGTTCACCGACTCGGTGATGTGCCGACGGTTAATCTCTGTCAGTTCCCTGCAGGGAGAGAGGAAGAGGGGGGGCTCGGTGCCCGGCCCCCAGCCCTGCCTGCCTGGCCCCCAGCCCTGCCTGCCTGGCCCCCAGCGGCCCCCTGCCCCCAGCAGCTGCCAGCCCTCCAGCAGCTCCCGGCCCCAGGGCCCTTACGCCTCCTTCTTATGTTTCTCCCTTGTCTTGGCCTCTGAAATACTGTTGTGGCGCTTCCTGTCCAGAATCTTCTGCAGTTCCTTCTTCTCCCTGGAAGAGCCAAGTGGGGGCGGAGAAAGGGTCAATGGCAGGTCCGGGGGCTCTCCTGTCCTCCGAGCACCAGGGAGTCCCCCGCCTCACCCCCCCCAAGATCTTTTGCCTTCACCTCTCGTTCATCTCCTTCAGCCTCTTGAACTGAGTTGTGTGAGCATCCAGGACAATCTCCCTGAGCCGCTGCTGAGCCTGCGGACACAGGTGGCCAACAGGTGACCCAGGCTGATGCCAGCTCTGTCCGGGAGGCAGGCTGTCCCTTGCTGCCACATGCCCACCTCACCTGTCTCAGGTGCTCCAGCCTCCGCTCAGCCTCTGCATCCGCCTGGGCCTCCCTCAGCTCCAGCAGACTCTGCACCTGTCTCTTCTGGAACTCTTGATACCGCTTCACCTCTTCCTCTTCCTGCTTCTCGTTCTCCCCGCCTCTGTAGGAAGAACCCCTCTTGGTGACCCTCAGGTTGTCATCTGGACTTGGGCTGGGAGGGCAGTGGCGGACAGAGCAGATCCCAATAGGCAATGGCAGACACCAGCCCAGGGGCGGGGGGATGGGGGCAGAGTCTGTGATGCCAACAACCAGGCCCATTAGCTCTGTGCGAACGAATGCTGGGAGCCTGTAGCGGCAACAGTCTCTGGGAATACAGGCTGCTCGTGGGGGACTTCAGCCGAGGCGCGGCTCCCTGGCAGAGGGTGGGGCCCATGTGGAAGGTTCCTCGATCTTCCTTGCACCAAACCTTGACTCCCCGGCGGTCAAGGGGCAGCCCCTGGCCATCCTGCCATGCCCACCCCCGCCCCCGGGCCCCCAGTGAAAACCCCCACAGGCGCACACACCCTCGTAGTCACCCCAGGACACACCGCCCACGGGCGCGCGGGCAGGCGGGACACTCACAGGACGCCCGGCCGCTGGTGGCACCTGCTCTCCGCCCGGGCCTGGGCCAGGCCGTCGAGCAGCCGGCGCGTGAGGGCCACGGCCTTCCGCTGGTGCTTCTTGTGCAGCTCCCGCAGCTCTCGCTCCTGCCGGCTCCGGAGCTTCACCAGTGCCTTGTGGCCTCGGAGCTCGTCCAGCGGGACCGGGGCCACCTCTGAACAACACAGCAAAGGTGGGCTGGGTGGGGGCGGGCGCAGGCCAGCCCACAGGAGCACCCCACTCCCCTCCAGGACAGCCCTGCCCCGCACCTGAGAGGAGACTGGCGATGAGGTCGTCCCGCTGCCCTGGAGAGAGGAGGCAGGGCTGTGAGGGGCGGGGAGGGGCACAGGAGAGCTACCCCAACGCCCCCCCATCCCCCAACCCGCCCCCCATCCCCCAACCCGCCCTGGCCGCCCCTTACCTGGGCTGCTGAGGGAGGAGCTGGTAGGGGACGTGGCAGGGCCTGGGGGCCGGCGCGGGGAGGTGTCCAGTGGGCTGGGTGTGGGGTTTGGGG